CCCCAGCAGGTGTGTAGCCGCCCTGGTGTGGTGTCCTGGGGTTAATAACCCTCCCGCGGTTGACAGGCCTTAATAACCCTCCAGCGGTTGACAGGCCTTAATAACCCTCCAGCGGTTGACAGACCTTAACAACCCTCCAGCGGTTGACAGGCCTTAACAACCCTCCCGCGGTTGACAGACCTTAACAACCCTCCAGCGGTTGACAGACCTTAACAACCCTCCCGCGGTTGACAGACCTTAACAACCCTCCAGCGGTTGACAGACCTTAACAACCCTCCAGCGGTTGACAGGCCTTAACAACCCTCCAGCGGTTGACAGACCTTAACAACCCTCCAGCGGTTGACAGGCCTTAACAACCCTCCAGCGGTTGACAGACCTTAACAACCCTCCAGCGGTTGACAGACCTTAACAACCCTTCAGCGGTTGACAGACCTTAATAACCCTCCAGCGGTTGACAGACCTTAACAACCCTCCAGCGGTTGACAGACCTTAACAACCCTCCAGCGGTTGACAGACCTTAACAACCCTCCAGCGGTTGACAGACCTTAACAACCCTCCAGCGGTTGACAGGCCTTAACAACCCTCCAGCGGTTGACAGACCTTAACAACCCTCCAGCGGTTGACAGACCTTAACAACCCTGCAGCGGTTGCCTTACGGTAAGATCGACACAGATTCAATAAGTGAATGAATCCAGTTATCACTTAGATTTAATCACACTTTTGAGGAATCAAGTCCAGTACTTGTTAAGTAGCAGCTACTTACTCAAGTGGAAGCGTGAATTGGTGATTGGTGATTCCTCGAATCATTTACTTCCATTCATTGATTGGATTAAGTTCAGTGTTGGTTGAGATTAGTTATAAGTGTGGAGGTCTGGGGAATAGATTAGATAATTCCTTCAAGATAAGATTGATAATCCTTCAAGATTAGGAAAGCACTTTCCTTCCTTGCTGCTGCTATCCCACCGGCACTGTCACGTGACAGTGACGGTGGTTACCATGACAGTGACAGTGACGGTGGTTACCATGACAGTGACAGTGACGGTGGTTACCATGACAGTGACAGTGACGGTGGTTACCATGACAGTGACAGTGACGGTGGTTACCATGACAGTGACAGTGACGGTGGTTACCATGACAGTGACAGTGACGGTGGTTACCATGACATGACAGTGACGGTGGTTACCATGACAGTGGTTACCATGACATGACAGTGACGGTGGTTACCATGACAGTGACAGTGACGGTGGTTACCATGACATGACAGTGACAGTGACGGTGGTTACCATGACAGTGGTTACCATGACATGACAGTGACAGTGACGGTGGTTACCATGACAGTGGTTACCATGACATGACAGTGACAGTGACGGTGGTTACCATGACATGACAGTGACGGTGGTTACCAACCACATCCACTGTCACTGTCTGTGCGCCCTCTGTAGTATTAGTAAACAAATTGCCAGGCACGCCACAGACCAGCTGCCAGTGTCACACGCTGCCACAGACCAGCTGCCAGTGTCACACGCTGCCACAGACCAGCTGCCAGTGTCACACGCTGCCACAGACCAGCTGCCAGTGTCACACGCTGCCACAGACCAGCTGCCAGTGTCACACGCTGCCACAGACCAGCTGCCAGTGTCACACGCTGCCACAGACCAGCTGCCAGTGTCACACGCTGCCACAGACCAGCTGCCAGTATCACACGCTGCCACAGACCAGCTGCCAGTGTCACACACTGCCACAGACCAGCTGCCAGTGCCACAGACCAGCTGTGGGAGTGTGTGCCAAGTAACTGGCCCTCCCATGGTCTGGCACGGGGCCGCCCGCCACAACCTGTCCTCCTACAACCCGTCTGAGGGGGAATTCTCCCGTATATATTCTGATATAATAGTAAAGTAAATAATTGATCTAAAAATATATTAGAGAAGTGGACTGTTGAAACTTGTAAATGATATTTGGATTATTTCCCCTGCCCATCTTTCAGGGGTAGAACCATTAATACTGGGACTATCTATTGCCTCTAAATGTTAAATAATTTAATGATAAATTTCAATAATAAATTTTAATTACAGAGTTAGTACACTAACGACAATGTTATAATTGGAAACAAAGGTGTTAGCTGTCGAGCCGTTAATGTGGAATGCGTCAGACAGTCTTCAGTAGCCGGTCTTAGCTGTCGAGCCGTTAATGTGGAATGCGTCAGACAGTCTTCAGTAGCCGGTCTTAGCTGTCGAGCCGATAATGTGGAATGCGTCAGAAAGTCTTCAGTAGCCGGTCTTAGCTGTCGAGCCGTTAATGTGGAATGCGTCAGAAAGTCTTCAGTAGCCGGTCTTAGCTGTCGAGCCGTTAATGTGGAATGCGTCAGACAGTCTTCAGTAGCCGGTCTAAGCCCGTGTGGGCGTGTTGTAGGAGCAGAAAACTAATTCTCCAGAAAGGGTAATCTGCTTTCGTAGATAACTCCACTCTGTAAAATTTATAATATGTAATATCTATATGACTACAAATATTTCCACTATTACACATTGAAAGGGAAGTTGACTGATTAGGAGGAAAAACACTTACTGGTGTTTTTTGATTATCCCGCGGCATAATGACTGGACACTCCTAGAACACAAGATTATGATTTTAAAATGTGACAATGGGTACCTAGCCAACCGGAAGCGGTGTCCACAATGACAGATGAAGTTGGTTGCAAAGTCTGGGACCCGATAATGCTCGGATGATCCTTATATCAGACGATGAAAAGGACCAACTTCGGGACACTGATCAAAATGGCTTCTCTCTCTCTCTCGCCAAGTCTCCGGGCAAGTGACTAGGCCACGCGCGCGCCACCTGGATCCCTCACTGTGTATAAACTTGGCATACAAGTCACGATATTTTATTCTAATTTCCTATTAAATTAAAGCATTGCCGACGTTATTTTACGTCATAATAACGCACTCCAGGTATTCACAGACGGTTTTCCGCTGTGTATATTATTGAACCTAAGTTGCGTTAAATAAAACTACATATATACTTGCGTGAAATTCAGTTCGTGACTTTTATCTAGCTTGGAACATCTGATTCGCAGCTGTGGAAAACTTTACCGATAAATGGATATGTAATTGACTAAATTGAATCCATTTTCCAATCTATATTACCTAATAAATCAAACAAGGTTAGACTGGGTTTAATTCAGTTTTACATAATAAGTTGATTCTCATAGAAACTGGGCGACTGATGTAACAGTGGCGTTACGTAATGTAACGCCGTAATGTAATACGTTACCTTATGTAACGTATGCGTTACATAAGGCCAAAAATTATCCTAATAGAAAATGGAAGCGGCTGGCGAATGTGTCGTACTGTCCCGTTTTCTGTTTGGGGTCCTCTTTAGGAGAGGACAGTTTAGTAGGACAGTTTCTTGACGTTGGGAGACCTTAGGAGGACGGGCTGACCAGCACGGTATACTGTGGTGCTCTACAGGCAGTACTGGCAGACCTCTTCCACCTGTGTATACCCCTTGTTGGCCCTTATTCTGTGGTGGACATGTACTTACGTGTCTCGTGGTACTGGGCTTCGCCTTTGACGCACAATATAAGATGCCAGGTTCGATTTCCGGGGCAGGAGAGAGGTGGTTGGGCACGTTTCCTTTCACCTAATGTCTCTATTCACCTATTAGCGAGTTAGTAGGCGTCTACACTAAGTGGTGGAGTGAGTACGGGTGGCTGGGAGTGTATGTTGGGGGAGGGAGAGTGGGCTACGTATGGAGACCCGGGCATCGCCGGGTCCCCCAGCCAGAGGACGCCCCACGAGGCCAAATAATCAGTCACAAATCTTGAAAGATTTCAAATATTTTTCATGCATTAGGAATTAGGAATATTTGAAAGTGTACCAATAGCTATCACCTGTGGTGATGACATCTGTCACCTGTGGTGATGACATCTGTCACCTGTGGTGATGACATCTGTCACCTGTGGTGACGACATCTGTCACCTGTGATGATGACATCTGTCACCTGTGGTGATGACATCTGTCACCTGTGGTGATGACATCTGTCACCTGTGGTGATGACATCTGTCACCTGTGGTGACGACATCTGTCACCTGTGATGATGACATCTGTCACCTGTGGTGATGACATCTGTCACCTGTGGTGATGACATCTGTCACCTGTGGTGATGACATCTGTCACATGTGATGATGACATCTGTCACCTGTGGTGATGACATCTGTCACCTGTGGTGATGACATCTGTCACCTGTGGTGATGACATCTGTCACCTGTGGTGATGACATCTGTCACCTGTGGTGATGACATCTGTCACCTGTGGTGATGACAACTGTCACCTGTGGTGATGACATCTGTCACCTGTGGTGATGACATCTGTCACCTGTGGTGATGACATCTGTCACCTGTGGTGATGACATCTGTCACCTGTGGTGATGACATCTGTCACCTGTGGTGACGACATCTGTCACCTGTGGTGATGACATATGTCACCTGTGGTGACGACATCTGTCACCTGTGGTGACGACATCTGTCACCTGTGGTGATGACATCTGTCACCTGTGGTGACGACATCTGTCACCTGTGGTGATGACATCTGTCACCTGTGGTGACGACATCTGTCACCTGTGGTGATGACATCTGTCACCTGTGGTGATGACATCTGTCACCTGTGGTGATGACATCTGTCACCTGTGGTGATGACATCTGTCACCTGTGGTGACATCTGTCACCTGTGGTGATGACATCTGTCACCTGTGGTGACGACATCTGTCACCTGTGGTGATGACATCTGTCACCTGTGGTGATGACATCTGTCACCTGTGGTGATGACATCTGTCACCTGTGGTGATGACATCTGTCACCTGTGGTGATGACATCTGTCACCTGTGGTGATGACATCTGTCACCTGTGGTGATGACATCTGTCACCTGTGACTGGTGCTGCAGGCGTGTGGGTCGTGGTTTACCAAGACTGCAACAGTAAACTCACCAGTATACCTCTGTACTTACAGGCCGTCGTGTAAACTGTTCTACAAGGATGACCCCATCAAAATACTACGAGCCTCTGGAGTCTACATGTACGACGAGCTGGGCGGTAGATACCTGGACTGTATTAACAATGTTTGTCACGGTACGTGTGGGTACTGGGGGGCCAGGGGTACTGGGGGGCCAGGGGTAGTGGTGGGCCAGGGGTACTGGGGGACCAGGGGTACTGGGGGGCCAGGGGTACTGGGGGACCAGGGGTACTGGTGGGCCAGGGGTACTGGTAGGCCAGGGGTACTGGGGGGCCAGGGGTACTGGTAGGCCAGGGGTACTGAAGGACCAGGGGTACTGGGGGACCAGGGGTACTGGGGGGCCAGGGTACTGGTATCTTGCTATGTTTCCCCATATAATTTCCTCTCGTGTATTGATATATATGTATAATACAAAGTATTTTTGGTTACAGTGGGTCACTGTAACCCCTACGTGGTGTCGGCGGCCATGCAGCAGATGGCAGCTCTCAACACTAACACAAGATTCCTGCACGATAATATTGTGCTCTACGCTCAAAGGTCTCAGTAATGTATCTATCTGTTCAAGGTTTACAAGGAATTGCTGCTGTAATTTGGAATATTGTCGTTGGGGGCGTTACTGCCTTGATAAGATGTCAATTAGATGAGGATTTCTTGTGTTATGACATTCAATTTAACTATTCAATATTGCACCATCTGATGTGATATGTTTTAATGGCACAACAGCTAAAGGGTAAATGCAGCACATTCTTCACCAGAGAGAGCTTATATAAACATTAAAACACTAACTTGTGTACTACTGAGTTGAAGGTGTGTATATTGGTCTGGTCATAAGAGGTGTTGGCAGCAGTATGTCTAATGTTAGGCTTTACATCTAATGTTAGGCTTTACATCTAATGTTAGGCTTTACATCTAATGTTAGGCTTTATATCTAATGTTAGGCTTTACATCTAATGTTAGGCTTTATATCTAATGTTAGGCTTTACATCTAACGTTAGGCTTTACATCTAATGTTAGGCTTTACATCTAACGTTAGGCTTTACATCTAATGTTAGGCTTTATATCTAATGTTAGGCTTTACATCTAACGTTAGGCTTTACATCTAATGTTAGGCTTTACGTCTAATGTTAGGCTTTACATCTAACGTTAGGCTTTACTTCTAATGTTAGGCTTTACGTCTAATGTTAGGCTTTACATCTAACGTTAGGCTTTACATCTAATGTTAGGCTTTACGTCTAATGTTAGGCTTTACATCTAACGTTAGGCTTTACATCTAATGTTAGGCTTTACATCTAATGTTAGGCTTTACATCTAACGTTAGGCTTTACATCTAATGTTAGGCTTTACATCTAATGTTAACACACACCTGTAGTCAGCATTCTTTTCACGTTGTGTGTGTGTGTGTGGGTACAGGCTGGTGTCGACCTTCCCGAAGGAGCTGAGCGTGTGCTTCTTCGTCAACTCCGGCAGCGAGGCCAACGACCTGGCCATCCGCCTGGCCAGGGCCCACACCGGCAGGAGGGACGTCGTCACCTTAGACCAGTAAGTGCTCTTAGTCTAAGACTCAGTGTGTGTGGAGAGGAGGTTAGGTTAGGGCACACTCTGCACGTCACCCAGGGTCGTAACTCCACCGCCCACTAGGGGCCTCGTAGCCTGGTGGATAGCGCGCAGGACTCGTAATTCTGTGGCGCGGGTTCGATTCCCGCACGAGGCAGAAACAAATGGGCAAAAGTTTCTTTCAGCCTGAATGCCCCTGTTACCTAGCAGTAAATAGGTACCTGGGAGTTAGTCAGCTGTCACGGGCTGCTTCCTGGGGGTGGAGGCCTGGTCGAGGACCGGGCCGTGGGGACACTAAAAGCCCCGAAATTATCTCAAGATAACCCCCCCCCCATCACAAAATACTACAGATGACCATACACCATTATAGACAAGTATACTTTCTTGCTAGACATGCCTTCAGACTCTGGTATACTGTCCAGTGTATTCTGACCGAGGAGAGAGGTACACCTCTCAGTGTATATCATTTCTCAAGTCTTTAGCGACTTTTGTTTACATTTATTAATGAGTTAATGAGCTCTGAAACAGCAGCAGACGGCTCATAACACTCACACCATTTGATTGTGAGGGTTCGATGCTCATAGCCTGTTTAGTTAATGTAAACGAGGGCACCGAAGGTTGAGGCAAGATTTCGCTGGCAGTTCGGCCTCGGCTATAAAAGCACTCTACCTTAAGAGCCTGAAGACGTTGTCCAAGATAACACGTGCATACACACACGCTGGACAAGATATCAACATGTGTTATCGAGATGTGTATGATACACGTATACTTGGTAATAACTGCAAGAATACATGTTGGTTAACCACATGTATTCTCATCATCTTGGTGTTGTACAGCATCCATACACACACAGGGAAGTATACACAGAGGAGCGTGTATGTATACCATTCATCTTGGTGTATGGTAACGGAGTTTGTTATAGATGCTGAAGGATCAGTAACCTTTTGTGGCCTTAATAACCTTCCCCGCGGTTAATATGCCTCAACCCTCCCGCAGTTGACAGGCCTTAATAACCCTCCCACGGTTGACAGACCTTAATAACCCTCCCGCGGTTGACAGGCCTTAATAACCCTCCCACGGTTGACAGGCCTTAATAACCCTCCCACGGTTGACAGGCCTTAATAACCCTCCCGCGGTTGACAGGCCTTAATAACCCTCCCACGGTTGACAGGCCTTAATAACCCTCCCGCGGTTGACAGGCCTTAATAACCCTCCCACGGTTGACAGGCCTTAATAACCCTCCCGCGGTTGACAGGCCTTAATAACCCTCCCACGGTTGACAGGCCTTAATAACCCTCCCACGGTTGACAGGCCTTAATAACCCTCCCACGGTTGACAGGCCTTAATAACCCTCCCGCGGTTGACAGGCCTTAATAACCCTCCAGCGGTTGACAGGCCTTAATAACCCTCCCGCGGTTGACAGGCCTTAATAACCCTCCCGCAGTTGACAGACCTTAACAACCCTCCCGCGGTTGACAGGCCTTAATAACCCTCCCACGGTTGACAAACAGACTCACCACCTCACAAGATACCTGAGAACAGCGCCACAAATGACCAATTCATCATTATTGTCCACAAGACCTGCGTCCATACTCACCAGGTGGCTGGCCCCGTGCTTCCTGTGACTGTGTTGACCAGTGCTGAGGTCACCATGTTAGGTGGTCACCATGTTAGGTGGTCACCATGTTAGGTGGTCACCATGTTAGGTGGTCACCATGTTAGGTGGTCACCATGTTAGGTGGTCACCATGTTAGGTGGTCACCATGTCAGGTTTGTCACCACGCCAGGTGGTCACCACGCCAGGTGGTCACCACACCAGGTGGTCACCACGCCAGGTCACCACCCCAGGAGGTCACTACGCCAGGTCACCACGCCAGGAGGTCACCACGCCCCACGACCACACACTGAGGCACGATAACAGCACGCACACATTGTACGACAGACACACACGCTGTGTTGATATGTTTACACGCGCGGGCCGACGGCCGCCCTCGTACCCTGTGTCTGACCAGCTGACTGTAACCCGCGCTGTCATCACCTTCACACGTGTGTGTGCACATTCCTGGTGCTCCTGTGTCGTCACCTTCGTACTGGTGACCTTGACCACCTTCAGGCTGGTGCTCCACGTGTCAACACCCCCTCCCCACCCCCACCCCACAGTGGCCGCCGCCAGGATTGATCAAAACATTCACGCCATCACTTACGAAGGCGGTACATCTTTCCTCAGTCATGACAGCCGTGATCACCTGTAACACACAGTTTGAGCCCCAGAGCACCAGGCTGTTGTTGTTTGCAATCTGCAAGTTGTAGTATTTCCAAGGAAATGCAAATAAAATTGCTTTCATAATGGAAAGATGGAGAGGTTTCGTAAACGCTTGATATACCTTTATATATTATTAAAACACTTATAGACCTAGTAATTATGTATATATTTCTTATAATCTCTGACAATAAGAAACTTAAATTTTCATGTAACTACTGATCTACTGTATTGTGTGACTGTAGCCCGGTATGTTGGTGTGACTGTGGCCCGGTATGTTGGTGTGACTGTAGCCTGGTATGTTGGTGTGACTGTAGCCTGGTATGTTGGTGTGACTGTAGCCTGGTATGTTGGTGTGACTGTAGCCCGGTATGTTGGTGTGACTGTAGCCCGGTATGTTGGTGTGACTGTTGCCTGGTATGTTGGTGTGACTGTAGCCCGGTATGTTGGTGTGACTGTAGCCTGGTATGTTGGTGTGACTGTAGCCTGGTATGTTGGTGTGACTGTAGCCCGGTATGTTGGTGTGGCTGTAGCCCGGTATGTTGGTGTGACTGTAGCCCGGTATGTTGGTGTGACTGTAGCCCGGTATGTTGGTGTGACTGTAGCCTGGTATGTTGGTGTGACTGTAGCCCGGTATGTTGGTGTGACTGTAGCCTGGTATGTTGGTGTGACTGTAGCCCGGTATGTTGGTGTGACTGTAGCCCGGTATGTTGGTGTGACTGTAGCCCGGTATGTTGGTGTGACTGTAGCCCGGTATGTTGGTGTGACTGTAGCCCGGCATGGTTGCCACTGTAGCCCGGCATGGTTGTCACTGTAGCCCGGTATGTTGGTGTCACTGTAGCCCGGTATGTTGGTGTACCTGTAGCCCGGCATGGTTGTCACTGTAGCCCGGCATGGTTGTCACTGTAGCCCGGCATGGTTGTCACTGTAGCCCGGTATGTTGGTGTCACTGTAGCCCGGTATGTTGGTGTACCTGTAGCCCGGCATGGTTGTCACTGTAGCCCGGCATGGTTGTCACTGTAGCCCGGCATGGTTGTCACTGTACCGTCTCCTCCACAGCGCCTACCACGGCCACGTCTCCTCCCTGATCGACATCTCTCCCTACATGTTTAATCGCCCGGGTGGCCAGGGCCAGCAAGACTGGGTCCATGTCGTAAGTGTTACCAACCTCTTAAGTTTAAAACTTAGGTCTATTAGACTGTGTTTACCTATAGATCTATTACATTGCATCATTATATTGTTGAAGTCAATTTTTAATTCGAGGATGAAGTAAGCAATATTAAGGTTCCTCCTTGGCATCAAATCTCCTTGGTCACGGAGATTCTACAAAATAATTTAGATGACTTGCTTTGGGCCAAGACCTGTGCCTGCAGATTGCACACACACGCACTGGGATACCCTGGCATCTCCAGCACTCAGATCAGACCTTGCATACCCAACAAACAATGCAGCTGAGAGAGCCCTTTCATGGAGTAAGAAGTTACAGCTTTACAGTAAACACCAATGATCTCCAGTGACTATGCTCGCCTCAGTCGTACATACTTCCCATTGTGGGGATTTTCTTTTGGCAGTCCCAATGTCTGCAACAGGGACACATCAGGCATAATGGATATCTTGTCTCTTAGCGGCTCCACATTGTAGTGGTCCTCTGTCATGCTGCCCCAATCCGCACTGTATAAGAGTATTTCCACCGAGGCTGAGGCTGATGAATACAGATTGTTTGGCCTGCAGTGCAGAAAATCCAAGAGCCTTAATAAATACAGTCACATTGAAGTTAAAATCATTATTAAGAGTGGTGTTGCTGCCACCCTGTGTGCAGCAGAGAGAGAGCTTTGCTAGCACCCAGTGTCCAGCAGAGAGAGAGCCTTGCTGCCACTTGGTGTCCAGCAGAGAGAGAGCCTACTTTTCTAATGTATAAAAAAATTTCTGTCACCACTGATCAAGCAGATAAAATTACACTGCATCCAACGAGGAATGGCTCACAACTGGCATGGGACTATACATGTGTATCCACCCTGACAGTCACACATGTGTCCCCCCTACTGGTCAAGCTAGTGACGTCACCAAACACACGGGGAAATAATCAAATCAAACGAAACATAGGAAAATTGGTCAGCAGTACGGTATTGTTCCTGGAGGCTCTGAGACGCGTGGGTCTTACGGAGAAAGTGCACAGAGCCTTCTCAGGGGGTCTGTGTTCCAGGTTCATTGAAACAACAAGAGACCCAAGAGCAGCCAGTTTCCTATTCCAGCACGTGAGTGTGGCGACCCAAAGGGAATTGCCAGGGAACACCCGCCTGTCCCACTCACCCTAACCCATCTCCACACACACACACCCTCCTCCTCCCCACCACAAACCCCCCCCCCCCACCTCCACAGACCCCTCCCAACACCCCCATCTGCTACACACCCTCACCTCCAAACCCTCTTCCCACTCAAACCCCAAACCCACTCCCCGGTCTCCCCCACCACTAACTTTCCCCAACACACTATCCACATCAATGGAGGCAAACGGCTACTCCTGGAATGCAAATCTGTCATCTGCTCTACAAATGATAAAGTCTATGGACGTGACCCGAACATTTCACATCCTCTCTGGACTCTACTTCAAGACCAAGTGACTGCAATATCCAATTAAAACAATATATTTGGATGTTGTTGCAGGGATATAAAAGTTAGCAGGTGCTGGACATTGAGGTTTAGTGTGATGCGATTAAAAAGGTATAATATTATCCCTGAAATTAAATGACTTCTTAAAATGTATTTGGAAAGTTGCTGGTGTAAACATAGTTACAAGGGTACCGCCGTGTACAGGCGCCCGTGCCGGACGTGTACCGGGGCACGTACAGGGACGACGAGTTCACGGCCGAGGAGTGCGCCGAGAAGTACGCGGACGAGGTGAGGCGCCTGTGTGACGAGGCTGCTCGGCCCGGCGGCGGCGTCGCTCTCTTCGTGGCCGAGTCCATGCAGAGCTGCGGCGGCCAGATAGTCTTCCCTCCTGGCTACCTGCGTCGGGTCTACAGGTAGGTGGTGGGTGTAGGTGGTGGTGGTGGGTGTAGGTGGTGGGTGTAGGTGGTGGTGGTGGTGGTGGTGGTGGTGGTGGTGTGTGTAGGTGGTGGTGGGTGTAGGTGGTGGTGGTGGGTGGTGGTGGTGGGTGTAGGTGGTGGTGGGTGTAGGTGGTGGTGGGTGGGTGGTGGGTGGGTGGTGGTGGTGGTGGTGGTGGGTGGTGGTGTTTGGGTGTTGGGTGGTGGTGGTGGGTGTGGGTGGTGGTGGTGGTGGGTGGTGGTGGGTGGTGGTGGTGGTGGTGGTGGTGGTGGGTGGTGTTGGGTGGTGGTGGTGGGTGTGGGTGGTGGTGGGTGGTGGTGGGTGGTGGTGGGTGGTGGGTGGTGGTGGTGGGTGTAAGTGGTGGTGGTGGGTGTAAGTGGTGGTGGTGGGTGTAGAAAGTGGCAGAATTCACTGTTGACTTGAGAGTTGATCTAGAAAATATTGAAAGAGTCTGTTTGTGACCGGATTAACAAAGGAGATTGCAGGAAATGAGATTCTGAAACTCTGGCATTCCATTCCTGAAATTTTTGACTGAAAATTTTCACAATGGCAGTATTAAAATAGTATTTTCATCGACATATTAATGCGAGTCAATGTTTTCAGTTCTGAACACGGCCAAGTCTAATATTAGACTTACTGATGAAACTACCGCGCAGCACAGCTCTCAACACGACCAAATACAAGCATGATATAAGCGACCCGTTTTAGCGAGCGTTCCCAACGTCAAGAAATAGGCGTTTATCCTAACCTACCAGAGCACCCACCAACAGAAAACGGGACGTTGTCAATTTCGAGTGAGTGAGCCAAAGAATCTGGCTTTAAAAAAGAAATTGAGAATAACCTTTGATTGTCAATGAACAATCTGAGAGCAGCAGTACACCGAGAACTTCAACAAGATCTTGTAGATCTGAGGCAAAGTGAAATTGACACCAGTAATTCCATCTATCATCATACTATCATGCAAGAGGAGCCACACATCTATGGATCATCCAATAAAATCAGCAGACTTCTAGATGTTACTACTGCTCGGCTTAGACTCGGTTACAAGTATCTCTGGGAATTCTCATTATCTGCTGATGTAGACCTGACCAAATGTAAACTGTGTCAACAAAATTATTCGCACACCCTCCGTCACTATGTGATGGAGTGCGAAAAGATACGTTAATTTAGAGACAATTCTATAACCAATGTTCCAACGATGTGTAAATATTTCATTCAAAATGATCTGCTACCAGAAATTTTAGCCAAATACCCGCAGTTTGCCAATTGCAGTAAAACTGTAGTGTGAAAGTTATGTAAGGAATTTACAACAAGTATTTCGCACTCTCCTGAGTGCTTTATCAAGGTGTGTGATTAGCGCGTCTAAACGTCTAAATCAATGAATTTAGACGTAGAGATGCAAGTCTCGACCTTATCACACACTCTGACCTTGATAAAGCATTCAGGACATTGCGAAAGACTTGGTTTAAATTCCTTACATAAATTTCTCAAACAAGTGGCTTTTTTTATCCTATACTATTTACATTGTTATTTTCAGTTGTGTTGTTACTGTAAGACCACCCAGAGGGGGGGGGGGGACCTAACCCTTCTCCGGAGAGGTCAGACCCAGGGAACCTTTGTACCACCAGCAGAGTCTCTGACGTGCTGATGTATCATATTGTTGCAAACATCTTCATGGTGACATTCTATTGACCAGGCGCGGCCCGACCCACAAGGGTTACTTTCTCTCACCTCTCTTTCTCTCTTGCTGTCTCTCACCTTTCCAAATTCTCCTCCCTCCTCCTTGAGGTGTAAGGGGTCAGGAGACTCACTTCGTCGGCCATTAGTTAAAAACTCATGTCAAAACAGCTTTTAATTGAAAATTCCGATAGAATGTTGTTTTCTCATATTAACGAGATGGTTAAGAGTTTTTCTCCCATTAGTTACCAGATGGTCTAAGATAAGCGGATGTCAAACATCTTTAATTAGAAATTCCTATAAAATGCTAAAATATTATTAATGCCATATATATCAGGCACTTGGGTAAGGACTTCAACCTATAGTTTGGCTAAAAACCACACGCTGACACTAGCTGGCGTAGTTTATTGCCAGTGTAGGTTAGGAGTAGCTTAGTAATTTTTGGTGAATATCATAATTTTGATTAAATAAAATCTTGTTAATTTGCATCTTTATGTGTCACTGGTTTCCTCATTGTCATCTCAGGTGTATGTCATCAAGGACATTGAACACCCTTGCAGGACCATCTAAAATTTTCCAGCATTAAATTGATTAATATAACTCTCAGTAACTGATGACATCAAAAGAAGAAATCTCTCGGTGGTAATTTAAATCAATAGGTCACAGTGGTTTCTCCATGAACCGTTGGCGATCCCCTAATTAGTAATTATCAATACTCTTGTAGTAACGAATGTAATAGGACGGTGGCAACTGCCCTATTACATTCGTTACTACAAGAGTATTGAATTTGAATTCAATACTCTTGGAGTAACGCTCCTTTGAATTGAGATTAAGCATTTCCTTGAACGTACCATTGGTTCTGTGCGAGACCAGTAGTACCAGGTTACACTCCACGGTAAATATTGTTTAGACTGAAGAAGAAAAAATACTTAAGAGCACCAGTGTGTAAAGAACAGTGGTATCAGGTAGGGGAAACCCAATGGTAGTAGGTGTCACAATGGTGGCAGCGGTGGGATACTGCGATATCTACTACCATTGGGTTTCCCCTTACCTGATAACACTTTACATGGAACCAGATACCACTAAAACAATCTCGGTTGTACTTTTAATATCTCAATTTCAATCTATGTTATACTTTAGTTAATAGTAAAGTAATAAATAAACATGTAAGTAAGCAACAGGACTCCCTTTTCCTAAGGAAGTTCATTATTAGTGTTACTGTCGGTATAGTTCATTAACTTTTACTTCTTGGGAATAACTAGTTATGAATAATATAATTCCTAAAGCTGTGCTGTTTAACACAACTCATAATAGTAACTAGTCCCTTCAACACACTTATGAACGCTTTCAAGCATTTTCTCTATCCATAAAAAATGATAAAATATAAATATAACAAGGATTATAATTTGCGGCTCAAAACTCTCATGGACACGCGAGATCATATTTTTGTTTAGAAGATTAAGAACTATTTTGGGACTCGCTCTACTAAAAGATCCCCACCTTGGCCTCGGGGGACCATGATAGGTCCCCACCTTGGCCTCGGGAGACCATGATAGGTCCCCACCTTGGCCTCGGGGGACCATGATAGGTCCCCACCTTGGCCTCGGGAGACCATGATAGGTCCCCACCTTGGCCTCGGGGGACCATGATAGGTCCCCACCTTGGCCTCGGGAGACCATGATAGGTCCCCACCTTGGCCTCGGGGGACCATGATAGGTCCCCACCTTGGCCTCGGGAGACCATGATAGGTCCCCACCTTGGCCTCGGGAGACCATGATAGGTCCCCACCTTGGCCTCGGGAGACCATGATAGGTCCCCACCTTGGCCTCGGGAGACCATGATAGGTCCCCACCTTGGCCTCGGGAGACCATGATAGGTCCCCACCTTGGCCTCGGGAGACCATGATAGGTCCCCACCTTGGCCTCGGGAGACCATGATAGGTCCCCACCTTGGCCTCGGGAGACCATGATAGGTCCCCACCTTGGCCTCGGGAGACCATGATAGGTCCCCACCTTGGCCTCGGGAGACCATGATAGGTCTCGCTGCCTTCCTGTCTCTGGTGTTGGGAAAACATGGTCACTTAATTGTTCAGTTGGTGATTATTATCTTGTTTGTTTTGTATATCAACATCTGTATGTTTGCTGGCCATAGGCAACAGATCCCGCCATGATTGCAAGGGAAGGAGGGGGGGGGGGGGTTGAAGGGAAGGTTGCAGGGGAGGGAGGGAAGGTTGCAGGGGAGGGAGGGAAGGTTGCAGGGGAGGGAGGGAAGGTTGCAGGGGAGGGAGGGAAGGTTGCAGGGGAGGGAGGGAAGGTTGCAGGGGAGGGAGGGAAGGTTGCAGGGGAGGGAGGGAAGGTTGCAGGGAGTGTCTACACAAAAGAATGTGTCATAGTGGACAATTGCCGAGCATGAAAATGCACTCAAGCTGAAAATGATTTACTTATTCATGTACTTATATACAAAAAGGTACATTGGGTTTATGAGAGAAGAGACACTTGAAGTTTGACATTGTTGTAAAGCCACTAGCACGCATATAGCGTTTCGGGCAGACATAATATAAAATAAACAGATTAATATATATTTCCATAAAAATTCTCATAATTCAAATAATACAGAAATCACTAAGAAATCATCGTTTACTTGAAAATTATTCCTAGGTGAAACTGTGCCATGTCTCCCCAGTGACGTGCGGGCGGCGGGTGGCGTGTGCCAGGCCGACGAGGTGCAGGTGGGCTTCGGGCGGGTGGGCAGCCACATGTGGGCCTTCCAGACGCAGGGCGACGACGTCGTCCCCGACATTGTGACGCTGGGCAAGCCCATGGGCAACGGCCACCCTGTCTCCGCCGTCGTCACCACAAGGTACCGTTCTCACACGGGAAATATTGACCAGTGTTGTACTCTATGACATTTATAATTAGCATTCCTGTATTGATTTCGTGTTAAGAAGTACTGAGACAAATGTATGGGTCTGTTATACTTTAATTAAACTTTCCTTTTATCTTCCTGTAGGTATTTTTTTTTTAATTAAGTTATGAGGTACATCCGCATTAGTGCAGCTACCCTAGACTATATGAAGTGGAGTACAGTGTGTCAAAACAGCTAACTAGGTGATGCTATAAAATCCCCATCACACAGGATGGTTAGTCATACAGAGGCATGTGATAAGCGGTCTGCACTGGCAGACTCCGGATGCATTTTGAGGATATCAACAACACAAGATTGAATAAGGTAGCAGTGGTAATACAAGTCCCCATCTCGCAGGATGGTTAGTCATACAGGGCCATGTGTTTAATAGCCTGCACTGGCAAATTTTGGGTATACTGTGAGGATATCTTCAAGAATACGAGAGTGAATAAAGTAATTGCAAAGCTCCAGGTACCTCATGCCAACTGGTCTGAAAGGTCTAATAACTGGGCATTCAGTGATGTAGTGCGGGAGATCATGCCGTAGTTCCTGCTCACAGAGTTTGCAACTGGAGTGCTCAGGATTGGGAGACCCGTCACCTGCAGCCACCTGCCACAGGTAACGGTAACCCAACCTGATCCTTGCAACCACTGTGTCGCACAGTCTAGTGGACGTTTTGTGCTGTCCATAGATGTAGGTTTCAGATCTGAACAAATCATAGCTTTTTATACTAGTACTTTCAGGTCGTTGGGAGTCAGTAAGTTCTTTCCTATCAGATCTGAATGTTTGGACCAATACAGTTTTGACAGCAGAGATGGGGATACCTAGATCTAATTCAACTTCAAACTTGTTACACGCTAATTTGGCTGCAATGTCTGTCTCATTATGATGGGTTATATTTATGTGTGAAGGTATCCATACAAAGGAGATTCGAGACCCTTTACTCTGTAGGAATTATGGATTATTTTCGGTAGCAACTCTACGGTAATCACTCGTCATGTTTCACACGCTACCCCCTCCCCCCTCATGGCCTGCTGGTGTTTTTGTGCTAATATTTCTTACAGCATTTAACTTAGACTTACAGTCCAACACAGAAAAGCTACATTATGACAGAAAATGGCAATAGTTAGAAAATCAAACTGCTTTCTAATACCTCCCACAGTAATGCGTCTATGAACAACCATCTCATGTCTCCCAGGGTCCTGTATCTGTAGTCAACCTTCAAAAATCTCCCATAGTAATGTACCCATGATCAGCCATCTTAGATTTCGCGTAGTAAAGCATCTATGGTTAACCTTCTTAGATCTACAATAATACATCTATGGTCAGTCATCTCAGATCTCCAACGGTGATGGAGATCCTTTCGGATCTCTCACAGTAATGTGTCCGTAGTCAACCATCTCATATATCCCATAGTAACGCATCCATTGTCAGCTATCTCAGAATTCCCACATTAATGCATCCTTGGTCAAATCATCTCGTGTCTCCCATAATAATGTGTTCATGGTCAATCATGGTAGATCTCCCATAGTAGTGCCCCTATGGTCAACCATTTCAGCTCTCCTACTGTTATATGTCCATTATGAATCTTTTCTGATCTCCCACAGTAATGCATTCATAGTGAACCCTCTCAATTCTCCCAGTAGTAAAGCGTTCATAGCATCTTAGCACTCCCACAGTAATGCAACTATGGTCAACTCAGATCTCCCATACGGCCATGGCCATCCCTCGAATATGCCATAGTAATGTGTCAGTGGTTAACAAATTAGGATCTCCAACAGTAATGGGTCAATGGTTAACTCTGCTCTCCCACAGTAATATGTCCAGGGTTGGACGTCAGGGCAGCCTGAAGTTCGGAGAGGGAGAGAGGGAGAGAGAGAGATCGTTATAGGGAAGCTGGAAATGAGTGCGAAAATCTAAGGGATGAGATTCAAGAACGGAGGAAGATGAGAACCGCAGCTGACAGTCGAAAAGTGGGAACCCAATTCGGTCGCGACCGTCACTGGATCCACCACAACAGTACCACGGAGGTGAACGACTTGACGAGACATCTGAAACACACTTGCTCTCTTGCGGATTTTCTTCCAGATCTGGAGTAGAGGAGTATCGGACGTAATGGGGGAGACATAATATTTCCAACTCTCACATTTAGCTGTACCGATGGTCCTACGGGCCACCACACACGCCTTCTGAAACAAAATTTAAGAATCAGCCGTCTGCCGGCGGCGGTGTTTCTTCCAGGTGTCACAAAAAAAGAGGCGAGCTCGAGGGAGAGGCAGAACGGAGAGATCGGAAAACGTAGCATTGAGGGTGAATTGGTACAGTCAGCTTTGGCAAATTGCCACCTAGGGAAGGAGAGGGGAGGGTGAGAAGAAAAACAGGTGAAAAGGATGGGGAAATGGTCACTGTTATGGAGGTCATCAAGAACCTGTCATGTGAAATCTAAGTAAAGAGACGACGAGCAGAGAGAAAGATCAAGACAGGAGAGGGTGTGAGTGCAGGAGTCAACATGAGTGGGTTCACCAGAATTCAGAAGAGACAGGGAAGAAGAGAGGACAAATGGTTCATGGAGGCGACCTCGGGTGTTTGTCACAACATCGCCCCAGAGGGTATGTCGACAGTTAATAACACCCAACAGGAGCACAGGTTCTGGTAAGGAGTCCAACAGATGTTTAAGATCAGGAAGAGAAAGCGGGAAGCGAGACATTTGGGGGGAAATAAATGGAACAAACTGAATACTGTTTACTCACAAAGATATGGGCTGCAGAACATTGAATCGGCGACTGAAAAAGTAGGGAGACGAAGGGAAGAACGAATCAAGAGAGCAGTAAAGTTATGGGCCACAGCAAAAACTAGAGGGGGGGGGGGAAGAGAAAGGAATAGCCACGGAAGAAGTTGACATAAAATCCACAAATGTTCCATTGAAGAATAGACATTATCAAAAATAGAGAGAACAGAAACAGAGAACAAGGAAGAAACAAAAGCAAATAAGAACACAGTGTATTAAGTAAGATCAGGATCAGGATCAGTGAAATCGGGATTAGGGGGGCATAGGTAAATCTAGCAAGGACGATTTCCTTGCAATTTCCACCACCTTTTGCATCTGGTAAAAGAGGTAGTCAAGGGAGTGGGAGGACAGACCAGAGGCAGAGGGACAGAGTCTGAAGTGGGTGGAGGCTTCGGAGACAGAGGCGGTCAAGGGAATCAGGGGAAAGGGGGGGGGACAGAGACAGGGAAGTGCACCACATCATGGACAGCAACCGAGAGAGAATCTAGGACCAAGGGAACCTCCATAGCTGGGACAAGAGGCTCGACCACCGAAATGGGAGGGGATGCAGGGATAATCAGAGTCGGAAGGTGGGAAAGAAAGTGATGCCTTCTTACCTCCGGGGAGGAAGAAGGAGAGGAGCCAGGCTTACGTTTCTGACTTTAAGAGACAAGTGTGCCAGCAATAACGTACTGGGCGACAACCTCCTTAGTCTCAACAGGAGAACGGGAGCGATCAACATGAAGATTGCCGGGAGGATGACGGACAACAGCCTGGACAGACAGGCGGGATGAAGGGCCAAAAGACAGAGGGGAGGGCTGGGAAGAAGGATTGAGGGAGAAGGGAAAAAAGACACAGGAGACTGGGCAGACTGAAAAGGAAGGAGGGAAACACCAGACAGAGAACCCAGGAGGAGGACCTTTAGGTCCAGAACGTAAAGCAGCAGGGAAGGTGGTGGTGAGTGTATCCGGATCCAAGGCCCGAAAACGGTAGAGAGACTGAGAAAGGAGGTGAGGGCGAGGAGAGGTGAAACGCAATACATCAGAGGTGGAACGCAACACAATAGACATGTCAGCAAAAGAGTGAGATGGTGTACTTGGCATATCGCCTCAGGAAATGACAAACGATCGCGGTGTTTCAAATTGAGGATGGCCTTCTCAAATTTGTAGGGCATACACGCGCAGGAGAAGGTTGGATGGACGCACTGCAATTGATGCAGCGAGCTTGTGAAGAAGAGCACGCTGTCTTAGAGTGACCCGAGTCCCCACACAAGGGGCACAGGGACACTACACTCGTGCATTTGAGGGCACCATATCCAAATTTCCACCACCTATTACAAAGTTTAGGAGAGGGAATGTACTCCTGAATGGAGCATCTGGCAGCAGCAAGAATGATAGAAGGCGGACGGGACCTACTATCGAAAGTTATCTTCACCACTTGAAGAGGTATACGATGGTGACCACGAGCGGGTCGAGTGAACGTATCAACCTGGAGAACAGAATAACCTTGGGCTTCAAGGATATGTTTAATATCCTCTTGGCAGTCTTTCAGGTTCCTAACAGTTACAACATTGTGCAGAAGAATAACCGTGCTGCTCCTGAGAAGCAGCAGCAACAGCACGAGTACCAGCAAGGCTGGGGTTAAAAGTAACAAAGGTATCCACCGAATCAACAAAGTGTTTATGGAGGAAGATATTTTCAGGATTTGTAGAATCCACATTGTTGAGATCAAAGTGTTTAATCCATGTAGCAGGACCAAACAAGGCTTGGAATGTAGTAAAACCGGAAGGAATCGTGTAGGTGTGTCTGCGTAGGGGACGGCGCCGAGCACCTCCAATAAGATGGGGGGAAGGTGGGTAAAAGGTGGAGTTGTCACAATGAGAGAAGCCACTCCAGGTGATGAGGTGGTCATCACTGGGGGCTTGGGGCTCGACCCTGCCACAGAGATGGGAGGGGGAGCGGAGAAGGGTAGTCGGGAGAGTTAGGGAAGCAGCTTGGTCTGGGCCTAATGTAGCGGGGCTATAGGCCTTCCATCACAGCATCGTGGATATACGCCCTGCAAACCCCACCTTAAGAATCGTCAGCCTGTCGAGATCTGGTTCAGCAGCGAAGGTAAGGATTGACAATAAAAGCGTCCCCTCGCTCGAAACGTCGGGTACCACAGTTTTACAAGTGAGAGAGAGAGTACCTCCCGAAACACCCGGGGGTCAAAACAGAAGAAGATGTCTGAAAGAATAATCAATAATTGTAAAAAGTCGGCGAGAAATGACAATCACAAAGGATAAGAAGGGGGAGGAAAAATGAAACATAAGAAAGAGGAAAAGGCTTCTAGCACATTTGGTGAAGACGCCAACAGGACCATAAGGCTTCAAATGGACAGAGGACTGTCCCATGGAGCATCACACCCTGGCAGCCGCCCACCAAGCTCCCTCGCGACGACAACCAGCTGGAAAGGTGATGCCTTTGCTAAATTTGATACAAAAACAAATTTATAAATCATAAGTAAAATCTGTATTTAGAACTCCCAACACGAACTCAGTCTGTATCCCTGGATAGTTCAGACCCAACCTCAGCGTTGTGAAAGGCTATGCGAACGGCACGGATTCAGTTGTTTCCAATTTAATCACATGTTCACGAATCGCGTTGTCTGTAGGACCGATTCTGAGAAATTTCGTTGTAAATCTTTCTCAGATTTCCTTATATCACAGTCCTTTGATACGTGACAATATGACGAAGGTGCGTTCTTGTATTTATTATTATTAGGGTTAAGGTTCTGAAAAAAGATGAAATAATTTGAGATTTTTACATTTATAACACATTAAGTAAGTAATTATTTATCCAAAGAAGTCATCAAACCCTTATAACACATTAAACATGATAAACATCAATGAACATGAGTTTTTAACAAATTCTTCCGATTTCATAGAAACATATAATTCTGGGACACCTTGTACAATATAATATCCCTATTTTAAACCTATTTTATACATTTTACCTATTCTTATGCTTAATTCAGATTCAGATGTTTATTCAGGTAAGGTATATACATACAAGTGATGTTACATTAATGGATTGATATATAGATAGAGCTAGTACATACAATGCCTAAAGCCACTATTACGCAATGCGTTTCGGGCAATTCGGGTAATCATTATACAGGTGTGTGTAAAGCTCTCACTCATCTTGTACATTCGTCAGAGGTTCATAGAACCAGCAATTATATTTAAACTATTTGTAATTTCTCTAAAAATCATTATTTTATACAACCTTCACACTTTATTGATACTATCATCTGCCACATCCATGCAATTGTTTCTGTATTGACAGAGAAATTGCTGAAAGTTTTGGAGCCAAAGGAATGCAGTATTTCAACACATTTGGCGGTAATCCTGTTTCTGCTGCAATTGCTGACGCTGTGCTTGATGTCATCGAGAACGACAAACTTATGGAAAATGCAACACGTATTGGCGACTACGTCAGACGAGAGATTAATTCCCTGAGAGAGAAACATGCCATTATTGGTAAAGTATTCCTTACGTACTTATTTTATATTATAATAATATAATAATAAAACTAATAATAATAATGTTTATTATTATTATTAGATACATACATTTTGTATATATGTACTGTATGTAACAGTGCATATATACAAAATGAGTTACATACAGAATGATGAGTGTAGAGAGAGGCAGTACACACTATGCCAGAGTCACTAACACACTCAGTGTTTCAGGCAAGGTTATTATTTATAATTGTGCAATAGATTCCTAGAATTGATGCCCAGAGGGAGTTAAGTATTGTGTTAAGAAACGTTGTATACTGGATTTAAATATTCATTTAGGGAATAATGGAGGTGTGTTGGTGAGTGGGAGGCAGCGATTATTTATACCCAACCTAACTCTCAGGTTTCTACCACCTTCCCTTGAACTGTCCAGCGACTCCCAAGTCTGTCTGTTCTCTTAGGGCTGTTACTCCATTGTTCCTGAAATCTAAACCTTTGGTGATTTTTTTTTAGTTTAGTTCATATATTATGCAGCTCATATCCATCTTGTGGGCGGTAGTGGAAAAGGTTACAGAGGCACATAATGGGCTCAGGGACTGAACCCCACAATTCATTTAGCTAAGCAAGTTACAATCTTGATGAGCTAGTTACAAAATTCAATATAAGTCATCACATCAACAATGGGTTCGAGATCAACCTCAAGTACAGGTTCTAAATTAAGCAACTGACATATGTGGAGAGCTAGTGTCACAATTGATATGTTTGTCCTGCACACCGCCCCCCATCCAGTGGGCAGCGGTGGATAGGTTACAATCACTTAGTTACTACCTACAGTTAGCAAACTGGCGATATTTGGCTAAAATTTCTGGTAGCAGATCATTTTCGATGAAATATTGACACATCGTTGGAACATTGGTTATAGAATTGTCTCTAAATTCACGTATCTTTTCGCACTCCATCACATAGTGACGGAGGGTGTGCGAATAATTTTGTTGACACAGTTTACATTTGGTCAGGTCTACATCGGCAGATAATGAGAATTCCCAGAGATACTTGTAACCGAGTCTAAGCCGAGCAGTAGTAACATCTAGAAGTCTGCTGATTTTATTGGATGATCCATAGATGTGTGGCTCCTCTTGCACGATAGTATGATGATAGATAGATTTTGTTGTAGTTCTCGGTGTACTGCTGCTCTCAGATTGCTCATTGACAATCCAAGGTTACACTCAACGGCTCCTTTGAAGGCAGATTCTTTGGCTAACTTATCAGCTCTATATCTTATCATTCGGAGCCCAACATGAGATGGAGACCACATGAAATGTACTCTGTTACCATCCTTAATAATTTTGTTGTATTTGTGTCTAGCTTCGGACACGAGCATGTTACAGTTATGGCTTAAAGAGTTTTGGCGGGCGTAACAAATGACTGAACTACCTTGTTGCCAACCCTTGTGTACCAGGGTCTTTTCTCAACCTAAACTTATGTAATAATAATGTTCTAAAGAAAGATGAATTGTGTGTTACCCCCCAGGTGTTGTGTGTTACCCCCCAGGTGTTGTATTGTGTGTTACCCCCCTCCCAGGTGTTGTGTGTTACCCCCCAGGTGTTGTATTGTGTGTTACCCCCCCCCAGGTGTTGTGTGTTACCCCCAGGTGTTGTATTGTGTGTTACCCCCCCCCCCAGGTGTTGTGTGTTACCCCCCAGGTGTTGTGTGTTACCCCCCAGGTGTTGTATTGTGTGTTACCCCCTCCCAGGTGTTGTGTGTTACCCCCCAGGTGTTGTATTGTGTGTTACCCCCCTCCCAGGTGTTGTGTGTTACCCCCCAGGTGTTGTATTGTGTGTTACCCCCCAGGTGTTGTGTGTTACCCCCAGGTGTTGTATTGTGTGTTACCCCCCTCCCAGGTGTTGTGTGTTACACCCCAGGTGTTGTATTGTGTGTTACCCCCCCCCAGGTGTTGTGTGTTACACCCCAGGTGTTGTATTGTGTGTTACCCCCCAGGTGTTGTGTGTTACCCCCCCCAGGTGTTGTGTGTTACCCCCCAGGTGTTGTATTGTGTGTTACCCCCCCCCAGGTGTTGTGTGTTACCCCCCAGGTGTTGTATTGTGTGTTACCCCCCCAGGTGTTGTATTGTGTGTTACCCCCCAGGTGTTGTGTGTTACACCCCAGGTGTTGTATTGTGTGTTACCCCCCAGGTGTTGTGTGTTACCCCCCAGGTGTTGTATTGTGTGTTACCCCCCCCCAGGTGTTGTGTGTTACACCCCAGGTGTTGTATTGTGTGTTACCCCCCAGGTGTTGTATTGTGTGTTACCCCCAGATAACATTGTGTTACCCACAGATAACATTGTGTTACCCACAGATAACATTGTGTTACCCCCCCAGGTGTTGTGTGTTACCCCCCAGGTGTTGTGTGTTACCCCCCAGGTGTTGTGTGTTACCCCCCAGGTGTTGTATTGTGTGTTACCCCCCAGGTGTTGTGTGTTACCCCCAGGTGTTGTATTGTGTGTTACCCCCCCCCCAGGTGTTGTGTGTTACCCCCAGGTGTTGTATTGTGTGTTACCCCCCAGGTGTTGTGTGTTACCCCCAGGTGTTGTATTGTGTGTTACCCCCCAGGTGTTGTATTGTGTGTTACCTCCCTCCCAGGTGTTGTATTGTGTGTTACCCCCCAGATAACATTGTGTTACCCACAATAACATTGTGTTACCCCCCAGCTGTTGTATTGTGTGTTACCCCCCAGGTGTTGTATTGTGTGTTACCCCCCAGGTGTTGTATTGTGTGTGACCTCCCAGGTGTTGTATTGTGTGTTACCCCCCAGGTGTTGTATTGTGTGTTACCCCCCAGGTGTTGTATTGTGTGTTACCCCCCAGGTGTTGTATTGTGTGTTACCCCCCAGGTGTTGTATTGTGTGTTACCCCCCAGGTGTTGTATTGTGTGTTACCCCCCAGGTGTTGCATTGTGTGTTACCCCCCAGGTGTTGTATTGTGTGTTACCCCCAGGTGTTGTATTGTGTGTTACCTCCCAGGTGTTGTATTGTGTGTTACCCCCCCAGGTGTTGTGTGTTACACCCCAGGTGTTGTATTGTGTGTTACCCCCCTCCCAGGTGTTGTGTGTTACCCCCCAGGTGTTGTGTGTTACCCCCCAGGTGTTGTGTGTTACCCCCCAGGTGTTGTGTGTTACCCCCCAGGTGTTGTATTGTGTGTTACCCCCCAGGTGTTGTGTGTTACCCCCAGGTGTTGTATTGTGTGTTACCCCCCCCCCAGGTGTTGTGTGTTACCCCCAGGTGTTGTATTGTGTGTTACCCCCCAGGTGTTGTATTGTGTGTTACCCCCCAGGTGTTGTATTGTGTGTTACCCCCCAGGTGTTGTATTGTGTGTTACCTCCCTCCCAGGTGTTGTGTGTTACCTCCCTCCCAGGTGTTGTATTGTGTGTTACCTCCCTCCCAGGTGTTGTATTGTGTGTTACCCCCAGGTGTTGTATTGTGTGTTACCTCCCTCCCAGGTGTTGTATTGTGTGTTACCTCCCTCCCAGGTGTTGTATTGTGTGTTACCCCCCAGATAACATTGTGTTACCCACAATAACATTGTGTTACCCCCCAGGTGTTGTATTGTGTGTTACCCCCCAGGTGTTGTATTGTGTGTTACCCCCCAGGTGTTGTATTGTGTGTTACCCCCCAGGTGTTGTATTGTGTGTTACCCCCCAGGTGTTGTATTGTGTGTTACCTCCCAGGTGTTGTATTGTGTGTTACCCCCCAGGTGTTGTATTGTGTGTTACCCCCCAGGTGTTGTATTGTGTGTTACCCCCCAGGTGTTGTATTGTGTGTTACCCCCAGGTGTTGTATTGTGTGTTACCCCCCCAGGTGTTGTATTGTGTGTTACCCCCCAGGTGTTGTATTGTGTGTTACCCCCCAGGTGTTGTGTGTTACACCCCAGGTGTTGTATTGTGTGTTACCCCCCAGATAACATTGTGTTACCCACAATAACATTGTGTTACCCCCCAGGTGTTGTATTGTGTGTTACCCCCCAGGTGTTGTATTGTGTGTTACCCCCCAGGTGTTGTATTGTGTGTTACCTCCCAGGTGTTGTATTGTGTGTTACCCCCCAGGTGTTGTATTGTGTGTTACCCCCCAGGTGTTGCATTGTGTTTTACCCCCCAGGTGTTGTATTGTGTGTTACCCCCAGGTGTTGTATTGTGTGTTACCTCCCAGGTGTTGTATTGTGTGTTACCCCCCCAGGTGTTGTGTGTTACACCCCAGGTGTTGTATTGTGTGTTACCCCCCTCCCAGGTGTTGTGTGTTACCCTCCCAGGTGTTGTATTGTGTGTTACCCCCCAGGTGTTGTATTGTGTGTTACCCCCCCCCAGGTGTTGTATTGTGTGTTACCCCCCAGGTGTTGTATTGTGTGTTACCCCCAGGTGTTGTATTGTGTGTTACCCCCCAGGTGTTGCATTGTGTGTTACCCCCCCAGGTGTTGTGTGTTACACCCCAGGTGTTGTATTGTGTGTTACCTCCCTCCCAGGTGTTGTATTGTGTGTTACCCCCCAGATAACATTGTGTTACCCACAATAACATTGTGTTACCCCCCAGGTGTTGTATTGTGTGTTACCCCCCAGGTGTTGTATTGTGTGTTACCCCCCAGGTGTTGTATTGTGTGTTACCTCCCAGGTGTTGTATTGTGTGTTACCCCCCAGGTGTTGTATTGTGTGTTACCCCCCAGGTGTTGCATTGTGTGTTACCCCCCAGGTGTTGTATTGTGTGTTACCCCCAGGTGTTGTATTGTGTGTTACCTCCCAGGTGTTGTATTGTGTGTTACCCCCCCAGGTGTTGTGTGTTACACCCCAGGTGTTGTATTGTGTGTTACCCCCCTCCCAGGTGTTGTGTGTTACCCTCCCAGGTGTTGTATTGTGTGTTACCCCCCAGGTGTTGTATTGTGTGTTACCCCCCCCCAGGTGTTGTATTGTGTGTTACCCCCCAGGTGTTGTATTGTGTGTTACCCCCAGGTGTTGTATTGTGTGTTACCCCCCAGGTGTTGCATTGTGTGTTACCCCCCCAGGTGTTGTGTGTTACACCCCAGGTGTTGTATTGTGTGTTACCTCCCTCCCAGGTGTTGTGTGTTACCCTCCCAGGTGTTGTGTGTTACCCCCCAGGTGTTGTATTGTGTGTTACCCCCCAGGTGTTGTATTGTGTGTTACCCCCCAGGTGTTGTATTGTGTGTTACCCCCAGATAACATTGTGTTACCCACAGATAACATTGTGTTACCCACAGATAACATTGTGTTACCCCAGATAACATTGTGTTACCCCCCAGATAACACTGTGTTACCCCAGATAACATTGTGTTACCCCCAGATAACACTGTGTTACCCCCCAGATAACATTGTGTTACCCCCAGATAACACTGTGTTACCCCAGATAACACTGTGTTACCCCAGATAACACTGTGTTACCCCAGATAACACTGTGTTCCCCCCAGATAACACTGTGTTCCCCCCAGATAACACTGTGTTCCCCCCAGATAACACTGTGTTACCCCAGATAACACTGTGTTACCCCCAGATAACACTGTGTTACCCCCAGATAACACTGTGTTACCCCCAGATAACACTGTGTTACCCCCAGATAACACTGTGTTACCCCCAGATAACACTGTGTTACCCCCAGATAACACTGTGTTACCCCCAGATAACACTGTGTTACCCCCAGATAACACTGTGTTACCCCCAGATAACACTGTGTTACCCCCAGGTGACGTCCGTGGTCAGGGGATGTTCCTGGGCGTGGACCTGGTGCTGGACCGGAGGACGAGGGCGCCCGCCACCGCCCAGGCCGCCTACATCAGCAGAAGGTAACTGGCCAACACATCCTCTCATTCACAACTGGAAGATAACATTAATCTCAACCTTATCTCTTCTTACACTCCCCCAGGGAACGTGTTAGTCTTGAGTCAGCCAACACTGCTCCTGCTCAGTCCCTGGGGGCTCCTCTGGGTTTAACACAGGTGCAGGAAAGTCAGTTGACTCTTGAGTAAGAGTACTCAAGAGCTTGACTCTTCAGTAAGGTAACAGCCTTTGTCAGCTGGCATCACTTTGAGAAAGTTTATAGGCAATTCGTCACATTCCAGACTGGACAAAGTATGATCATTTGTGGGTGGAGAGCAGTTGCCATCACTTGTGAGAGGTTGAGAGGTAAGATATATACAACAGCAGCCCCGCTCCTGTGCCAGGTAAGTCCACGGCGGGATCACCATAGCCCGTGCTACTTGCAACTTTTGTGCCCAGTACCTGAATCTAAAGCAAGAACAACAACAAGGACATATATAACGTAATTGTTCTTATATTCACCCTATACACTCTGATCTGGCAGCCCCAACACAACCATCTGGCAGCCCCACACCCCCAACACAACCATCTGACAGCACCACACCCCCAACACAACCATCTGGCAGCCCCACACCCCCAACACAACCATCTGGCAGCCCCACACCCCCAACACAACCATCTGACAGCCCCACACCCCCAACACAACCATCTGACAGCCCCACACACGTATTACCTATCTCACCTTTACATCTATTGATTTATCATATCTCGTCCATCCTAACATGGCAGTTTTTACACTAATACACTGACCTCCTCTATAGTTATATTGTATCGGGGCCCAGCCTTTAACAGCACTTAAACTGGTTAAATGCTGGTCGTTATTAGTTCTATTTGTCTCAAAGTTCTCAATGTAACCTTCAGTCCAACACCTTGAATCTAAAACGTTTGATCGCTTAGATATCGCAACACGAGGACACTGTACTTTCTATCCTACACTGCAAACTCGGAGAACGCCACCAACTCCTGACTTCATAAAACCCACTCAATAATTCCCCCAACTGACGGTGAAACAGGAAACCGTCAATTAGGCATAATCCCCGAAAGTTGATCCCCAATTATCCAAAAGGAGGGATGAGATTACTTTAAATGTATGGAATTAACTGTTACAAAAGGGATGATGATAATATATATTAAATAGACTGAGGGATCCTTGTAAAGTTCACTGGAGTTTACTCAACAAAAAAATATAAATGTGTGGGAAATTCACTACACAATAGACTTCGTTCAAGTAATCATTTATTTTACGAAAAGTTATTAAAGGAAAACTCCCGAAACTGAAATATATTCTAACTGAAAATCTTCCTAAAACAGAGGCAATGGTATGGACTACAGAATAATCTGGATTCTCCAACTGCCCTCAAAATAAACAGATAGATATTTTTACCTTAAATAACACAAGCTCGGCTCGATGGAAGGCCAACCGAGCCAAATCGATCTAGTCCCCTTATTTTAGATGACTTCTATGTCCCTTTTGTCAACTTAAGGACTTCCTCTATATTTCCAAATGATGTTAAATTAACATAAGTATTTAAGCCAGATTAATTATTACTACAATTACTTTTAATAACTGAATTCCTCTGAACTGATGTTTTAAACACAAAGGGAGACGGAGCCATCTTGTCTATACCCTCTCCCCCCTAATCCTTTAATCCCTGGGGAGTAACCTATTCTACTGCTACCCGTCCAGCTCGTTGCTGCCGTGAGGGGGCTTGGTGGGCGGCTGCCGGAGTGTGATGCTCCTTGGGGTGGTCCCCTGTCCTTTTCTAGCCTTGTGCTCCTGCTGCTGTCCTCACAAATTTTGCTGGACACCAATTCCTTTTCCTTCTGTTTCGTTTTTCTCCCCCTCTTCTTCTTTCTCATTGTCATTCCCCGCCGACCTTTTGCCTGTTTTGATTCTTCTTTGGGCCTTCTTTTATTTTCACACCCGGGTGTTTGAGGAGGCATACTATTGCGCCCATAGAACTGTAGTACCCAACGTCTCAAACGAGGGGACCCTTTTATTGTCAATCCGTCTTTCGTCACTGAACCCGATCTCGACGGACTGACGGTTCTTAAGTTGACATTTATGGGGCATATACTCACGACGCACCCCTGGGGGGGGCCCGGCATTATTGACGATAGCTTCTTGTTGGATGTCCTGCCTCTAATTGTGGCTCCATGGTGGGTGTGGGGGCACATTCGTGAATGAAAGTCTTACCTTGTTTTAATGGCAGAAAATGTTTCCCTTGTACCTTCTCAGGCTCGTGGGGTGGGCGACCAAGCCCCCGAGTCGGACTGTATTGGAAGACCAGGCCCTGTAACCCCCGCTGCATTAGGGTCCGATCTTGCTCCTCCTTTGACCCTCCTGACTACTCCCCTCAGCTCCCTTCCCTCCTCATCGGTAGGGTCGAGTTCCCAGCCCCCAGTGGTGACCACCTCGTCCCCTGGCACGGCTCCGTCTCTCATTGTGACTATTGCGCCTTTTACCCCCTCTCACTCTGGGGGTTCTCAACGCCGTTCCCGCCATGGCTGCACTCGCACGATCTCTTCCAATACTAATACTTACAACGCCTTGTTTGGTCCCGCTATATTGGCTAAATACTTTGATCTCCACTATCTGGATTCTACACCTCCTGACGATTTCTCCCTCCATAAACACCTTGTTGATTCAGTAGATGCCTCTGTTAGTTTTAACCCCACCAATTACGGTATGCGTGTTGTTGCTGCTCCTCCTCAGGATGCAGCTACTCGCTTAGCCGCTTTGTCCTGCATTGGGGAGACCCCTGTTCGGGTCTCCAAAAACGCTCAGTTAAATGCCAGTGTTGGCACTGTTATCCTCCCACACCATGTTGCAACTGGTGTTCGGGACCTCAAAGACTGTCATGAGGATATTAAACATATCCTTGAAGCCCAAGGCCATTCTGTCCTCCAGGTGGACACGTTTACTCGACCCCCCTCGTGGTCGTCGCCGTCAGCCCCTTTGAGTTGTAAAAATCACCTTTGATAGTAGGGCCCTTCCGCCCTCTATTATTCTTGCTGGTGCCAGATGCTCCATTCAGGAGTACATTCCCTCTCCAACACTTTGCAATAATTGTTGGAAGTTTGGGCACGGTGTCCTCAAGTGCACAAGTTCTGTGTATCACATGGATCATCTTCCCCCATGTGTAGGGACGATGATCATTCTAAGTCCGAGTGCACTTCTCCCCAGGCTCGCTGCCTCAATTGCGGTGAGCCCCACCCTACCTTCTCACGCTCGTGTATGCACTACAAACTTGAGGATGCCGTCCTCATCTTGAAACATCGTGATCGTCTGACTTTTCCTGAAGCAAGACGCCAAGTTGGTCGTCTCACCCCTTTAGTGGGTGTATCCTATGCTCACGTGTTGCGTTCGACCTCTCCTCGTCCCTCCCCACCTTCCTCAGTCTCACAACCGTTTCCAGGGCTTAGACCCGAACACACCCTCCACCTCCTCCCCTATTCCTTTGTGTCCTGTCCCGAAAAGTCTCCCTCCTGGTTCTCCATCTGGAGTTTCCCCCCTTCCTACCCAGTCCACCATGTCTCCTATGTCTTCTTTCCCATCTCCCCCACTCTTTCTTCCCAACCCTCCCCTCCCCTCTCTCTGACTATCATTACGTCCCCTCCCATTTCAGTGGTCAGGCCCCATGTCCCAGATATGGAGGTTTCTTTCACCCCAGATTCCCTCTCGGTTGCTGCCCTTGGTGAGGTGCACTCCCTGATTTCTGCCCCTCTCAGTTGTCTCCTCCTCTGGACCCCGTCAGTCCGCCTCTGGTCTGTCCTCCCGCTCCCTTCCCTCCATCTTTACTAAGTTTACACATGCCACCTAACCCTGATTTTGCTGACCCTGTTCCCGATCCTGATCCTGAGTTTCTTTAATAAACTGTGTTCTTCTATACCTTTATTTCTTTATTGTTCTCTGTTACTGTCCTTTCTCTTTGGTAATGTCTATTCTTCAGTGGAATATTCGTGAATTTTATGCCAACTTCCATGAACTCCAACTTCTAATTACATAGTTTTCACTGCTTTGTGTTTGTCTCCAGGAACCAATGCTTGGTGCTCGTCCTGGTCACTTTCGTGGTTATTTCTTTCTTTCTCCCTCTCTCCCCAACTAACTCTAATAATAACTCTACTGCTCTCTTAATTCGTTCTGATATTCCCTTCGTCCCCCTACTTCTTCCGTCGCCTATCCATTGTTCTGCTGCCCGTGTTTTTGTTGGTAAATGGTATACAGTCTGTTCCATTTCTCTCCCCCCAAATGTCCCACTTTCCCTTCCTGATCTTAAGCACCTCCTGGATTCCTTGCCAGAGCCGGTGCTCCTTTTGGGTGATTTCATCTGTCGACATTCCCTCTGGGATGAAGTTCTGACAAATACCCGAGGCCGCCTTCTCGAACCGTTTGTCCTCGCTTCTTCTCTATCTCTTCTGAATTCTGGTGAGCCCACTCATGTGGACTCTCGGACTCGCACCCTTTCCTGTCTGGATCTTTTTCTGTGCTCGTCGTCCCTTTACTTAGATTTCACGTGGCGGGTTCTTGATGACCTCCATAACAGCGATTATTTCCCCATCTTTGTTTCCTTTTTCTCTTTCCACCCTCCCCTCTCCTTCCCTAGGTGGCAGTCTGTCAAGGCTGACTGGAGCCTATTCACCCTCCATGCTACTCTCTCTGACCTCACCTCTCTGCCTCTTCCTCGTGCCCTCCTCCTTTTTTATGACACTGTCTTTGACGCTGCCCTCCGCTCTATTCCTCGCTCTTCCTCCCGGGGCACACGGAAGTGCATTCCCTGGTGGAATGCGGACTGTGCTTGGGCTGTCTGCTGTAAGCGTGCAGTCTGGAAGAAACACTGCCACCGGCAGACGGCTGATTCGATTATTTTGTTTCGGAAGGCAAGTGCGGTGGCCCGTAGGACCATCTGTACAGCTAAACGTGAGAGTTGGAAATCTTATGTTTCCACCATTACGTCCGATACTCCTCTGCCGCAGATCTGGAAGAAGATCCGCAAGATTGCAGGCAAGTTCCTTTCAGATGTCTCGCCAGTTCTCCACCTCCGTGGTACTCTTGTGGCAGACCCAGTGAGGGCTGCGACCGAACTGGGTTCCCACTTTTCTACTGTTAGCTCTAGTTCTCATCTTCCTCAATCCTTCCTTCTTCGTTAGCCTGTTCTTGAATCTTATCCATTAGATTTCCACACTCATCTCTGCTTTCCCTATAACGATCCTTTCTCTCTTTCTCAACCTCAGTCTGCCCTGGCCCTCTGCTGATCTACAGCAGTGGGCTCGGATGACGCTCATTATGAGATGCTTCGCCATCTCCCTCCGTGCACGTTACAGTATTTACTGAGTTTGTATAACCAGGTCTAGGAGTCGTCGTCTGTCCCTGAGGACTGGCTCGATGCCGTTGTACTCTCTATTCGGAAACCAGGGTCTCTCAGTACGTCCCCCAAGGACTTCTGCCCTATTGCTCACATGAGTTGTGTCTGCAAGCTCTTTGAGCATATGGTAAATGTTCATCTGATGTGGTTCTTGGAACCATCACCACCTCTCTCCTTCTCAATTTGGTTTCCGCAAGTGCCGCAGCACGACATGTCCTGGTGAACTTGGAGGTCTATATTCGTACTGCTTTTGCTGCGAAGACCTCCGTTGTTGCTGTCCTTTTTGACCTAGAAAAGGCTTATGACACGACTTGGAGATACCATATTCTGTCCCAACTTCGTTCTTTTGGCCTTCGTGGTCATCTCCTTCTCTTCCTTCAAAGCTTTCTCTCTCATCGTACCTTTCGAGTCAGGCTTGGTGCCACTCTCTCTGCCTCTTTTCGGCAGTATGAAGGTGTACCCCAAGGTAGTGTTCTGAGCACTACTCTTTTTCTGGTTGCTGTCAATGGTCTTCTTTCCTCCCTTCCTTCTGGCATTTTCTTCGCTCTTTATGTTGACGATCTTACTCTTTGCTGTCGGGGTGATGATTCACCTTTCCTTCAACGGCGGCTTCAACTTGTGATTGATGCCGTGTCATCTTGGGCCACCAATCATGGCTTCAAGTTCTCTACTACTAAGACTTGTGCCATGACTTTTATTCGAAAGTGGGTCTTTCTTCATCCCTCTTTGTCACTTTATGGTCATCCCCTTGAGTATAAAGATTCCGCGAAGCTTTTGGGGTTAGTCTTTGACACTCGTTCGCCTTTGTCGCCACAAATCTCTTACCTCCGTGTTGAATGCTGTATGGCCCTTAACCTACTTAAGGTTTTGTCCTATACTTCTTGGGGAGCGGATAGGCGCACACTCCTCTGTTTGCATTACTCTCGTCCTGTCTACTCGATTATGGTTGCCCTGCCTACTCTTCTGCTTCTCCTTCTACTCTTCGCCGCTTTGATCCTGTGCACCGTGCTGGGTTGCGCCTCAGCTCTGGTGCTTTTCGTTCAACTCCCGCCCTCAGCTTGTACGCTGACGCTGGCTTCCTCTCTCTCCAGGATCGCCGTGATCGCTACAGTCTTCGCTATCTTGCGCGATCCTTACAGCATCCTCACTCTTGCCTCTATCTTGCTTTGAGCTCCTGTAGTTCCTGTTCCTCTTCGCCACCTTCCTATTTCTGTCCATTTGTCTCGCTTACAAGATTCTCTTTCGGTTTGTATTACCAATGTTTCTCCTCATATTGTTCCATCCTTGCCCCCGTGGAGGGGCCCCCTTTCCAAATTTCTCTGATCCTCATCACTAAATTTTTTACCTCTCCTACAGTTCTGAAACGCCTCTTCCTTGAGCACTTTTCTTCTCACTCCCGCTCCGTTCCCATCTTCACCGATGGATCTAAGTCTGCCGAGGGTTTTGGCTACTCTGTTGTTTTTCCTGGCCACACTTATATGTGTCGCCTTCCTCCGGAGGCTAGCATCTTCACAGCAGAACTCTATGCTATTCTCTATGCTCTTCATATCCTGCTTTCCCGGTGTCAGTCCTCCTTTGTGGTGGTAGTTAACTCGTAGTGCCCTCATGGCTTTAGGGTCCTTTAATTCGGTCCATCCGATGGTCATCGAGATTCAACATTGGCTATTTTTTTATCTCCAGTAAATTTAAGTCAGTTGAGTTTTGTTGGGTTCCCAGCCATGTTGGCGTCTCTTTAAATGAGCGTGCGGATGCTGCCGCTTGGGAAGCTATCTGCACTTGTCCCATCTCCAGTAAAGATATTTATTCCTTATTCTGACTTTTACCCAGTTATTCATGCCTCTGCTGGCAGAGTTGTTGGTCTTCTGTTATTCGTAACAAACTGCATACTCTTAAGAGTCGTGTGTGTCTCAGTGGCCTTCCTCCTACCACTGTCACTGGTGGTGGGAAATGGCTCTGGCTAGGTTACGTATTGGCCATACCCGTTTAACTCACGGACTCTTAATGGACCGCCACCCTGCTCCTTATAGTCCAAACTGCATTGTCCCTCTTATGGTCGTGCATATTCATGCTGAATGTCCTGACTTCCAGGACAAACGTGTGTCTTGCTTCCCAAATCACTTATCCCTCATGAATTGTGACTTGCATTCACTTGTCCCTCGTTAAAATTCTTGATGAATCGGATACCTTTGATATTGTTTGCCTAATGCATTTCTGTTCTTGTATTGCATCCTCAGTGATATTTAGCGCCCTCTGATTATCCCGCACAGTTGATGGTGCTACTTTGCCTTCATGACTTGGTGCCTTCTTTGAATAATTACTTACTTCCTTGGTTTAGTTAGGTAACGTTAAAACTATTATTTTCAAAAGTGTGAAATATGAAATTCCAAAACTATTTCATCATCCCCAATATTTTAATTTTAAAGAAAACCTAGACTTCAGAACATTTATAACTGATTTATAATTGAACCACTGATTTATAATGCAGTAAGTTTATAACTTCTTAATAGCTTTGTTTAGGACAAAGGTTCACTTGCCAATTTAGAAGTAGACTATTACTGGAACAATAATAAGCTTTCAGACCATCATAAATATGTAGATAACTATCCAGGTGGTGTGAGCCAGGATTTGGCATCTCACTCACTCTAATCACTAATCACTCTACCCTGTGGACGGGCTGCATTTGTGCTACGTATTCTAATGCTGGTCGAGCATAGTAGCGTACATGTCTCTGTCCGTGGCCTTGTTGCTCCTTAATGTTCATGAGCCATCTGTATGCCGTTGATAACTTGTTAGTGTGTGCCTCTGGGACTAGACTTGCAACTGTGTGTATGACAAGGTCCTTGTTTCTAACCTCTCCTTTACAATATTCTTTTAATTCTTGTTTTCTATTATTCTTACCTTTTTCTCTTGCTTCTTCCTTTCATCTTGTTCTTATCTTTCATCGTGTTCTTATCTTTCATCGTGTTCTTATCTCTCATCTTGTTCTTACTTTCTCTTCCATTCATTTCCCCCTCTTCCATTATTATGTTTGTCTTCCACTCTCATTCTATTACGCGACTTGATAATGCTCCAAGACGGACCGAAACGTCGTGTTTCTTCATTATCAGCTGCGTGAGAGTTGAGAGTCAACTCTTCAGCTGCGTGAGAGTTGAGAGTCAACTCTTCAGCTGCGTGAGAGTTGAGAGTCAACTCTTCAGCTACGTTATTTTTTTTTTTTTTTTTTTTTTTTTTTTTTTTTTTTTTTGAGATATATACAAGAGTTATTACATTCTTGTACAGCCACTAGTACGCGTAGCGTTTCGGGCAAGTCCTTAATCCTATGGTCCCTGGAATACGATCCCCTGCCGCGAAGAATCGTTTTTTCATCCAAGTACACATTTTACTGTTGCGTTAAACAGAGGCTACAGTTAAGGAATTGCGCCCAGTAAATCCTCCCCGGCCAGGATACGAACCCAGCTCCCTATACCCCCCCCCCCCTCCCTCGTTATTGCTACATCATCTGCACAAGGGGCTTACAATTTTGTTTTCAAGTACTTGCGTCGTCCTCATTTAAAAATATTCCCTCCATGGTTCCCCAATCTCCAAGTTGCCATTTTTCATATTAGCGCTGGTTAGCCGTCGTTGTCTTAGAACATTCTACAACTGAAGGCTTTCTTGCAGTCCAGAAAGATGTGTTGTTTGAATTCTTTCATTGTTGTCATCTTGCCATAGAACTTTTGTAGGCTAGAGAATTAAGACTTCACTTGCGTAACACCTTGTAATCGTTGTCACTAATGTCCTTCCGTATTTCGGTATCTCTCTATACGGTCTCAGAACCTATCCGCATCTTCTAGGAGCCTTACTATTGGAATTCCTAGCGGCCATTATAATCTTTTCTTCCTTGATATCATAATGATCCTGCCCGCCAGAGGATATCAATTTAACTTTTGACAATGGAGGCAATTTAGGTTCACAAAGAAGATTGGTAAAATAACTTTGCTTCAAATGGTGTTATTATATTGTGGTATATATATATTTTTAATGCTTGTGTGAAAATTATCTTCCTTATAAAATTGTAATGCATAGGTTCTTGCAGGTTGAAGGAGCAGCATGTGTTGCTGAGCTGTGATGGTCCACACAGAAATGTTCTCAAGTTTAAACCTCCTCTTGTCTTTAATCTTGATAATGCCAAAGAGCTTCTTGAGAAGTTGGACAAAATCATGACGGAAATGGAGGCAGCTGAGGTAGGTGTAAACAAGCGATGGTTTACCCCCCCAGTGTAAATAAGCAATGGTGTCTTCCACCCCCCCAGGTGTAAACAAACAATGGTTTTTCCCGGTGTAAACAAGCAATGGTTTCCCCCCCCCCCAGGTGTACATGAACGATGGTTCCCCCCCCCCCCGGTGTAAACAATGGTCTTCCTCCCCTGTTGTAAACAAACGATGGTTTCCCCCAGTGTAAACGAGCAATGGTTCCCCCCCCCCCTAGTAAATGAGCAATAGTGTCCCTTCTGGTGTAAACGAGCAATGGTTCCCCCCCCCCTAGTAAATGAGCAATAGTGTCCCTTCTGGTGTAAACGAGCAATGGTTTTCCCCAGTGTAAGCAAGCAGTGGTTTCCTCCCAGTGAAAATGGTTCCCCTCCGGTACAAACGAGCGATGGTTCAACCCCATGTATAAACGAACGATGGTTTCTCCTGGTGTAAACGAGCAATAGTGTTCCCTTGATGTAAATGAGCAATGGTTCTCCCCCAGTGTAAACGAGCGATGGATTCCCCTCAACCTTGTGGTTACCTTGCGATGATTTTGGGGCTCAACGTCCCCGTGGTCCGTCTTGAAGTACTGCGTCGTCCTCATTTAAAAATATTCTCTCCATGGTTTCCCATTTTCCAAGTTGCCCTTTTTCAGATTAGCACTGATGATTAGCTGTAAGCACCCGTATTATGGAGCACTGCAACTGTTACATGTTATTATACATAATAACATCACTTTGGAGATGTTTATCAAGTTCTCTCTTGAACACTGTGAGGGGTCTGCCAGTTATGCCCCTTATGTGTAGTGGAAGCGTGTTGAACAGTCTCGGGCCTCTGATGTTGATAGAGTTCTCTCTCAGAGTACCTGTTGCACCTCTGCTTTTCAACAGGGGTATTCTGCACATCCTGCCATGCCTTCTGGTCTCATGGTGTTATTTCTGTGGGCAGATTTGGGACCAGCCCCTCTAATATTTTCCATGTGTAAACTTATTGTGTATCTCTCCCGCCTGCACTCTAGAGAATAGAGATTTAGGCATTTTAGTCGGTCCCAAAAGTTCAGATGTTTTACTGAGTGGATTCTAGCAGTAAAGGATCTCTGCACGCTCTCCAGGTCAGCAATTTTTCCAACTTTGAAAGGGGCTGTCATTGTGCAACAGTATTCCACTCTAGAGAGCAATAGCGTCTTGAAAAGTATCATCGTTGGTATAGCAACTCTAGTGTGAAAGTAGTTAAGTAATTATCAAAACAAGGCACCACACCGGGAAGGCTATGTAGCACCATCAAATGTGCGGAATAATCAGAGGGCGCTAAATATCACCAAGAATGCCAATACGAGAACAGAAACGCATAGGCGAACGATATCAAAAGTATCCGATTCACCAAGAATTCGATCGAGGGACGATCGGAAAGCAAGACACGCTCGTCCTGGAAGTCAGGACATTCAACAAGGATATGCACGACGGTAAGAGGGACAAAGCAATTTGGACAACAAGGAGCTGGGCAGCGCTCCATTAAGTGACCATGCGTTACGCGCGTATGACCAAGACGCAACCGTGCCAGAGCCGTTTCCCACCGCCGGTTACGGTTGCAGGAGGAAGGCCACGGGGACACACAATGCTTAAGAGTACACAGTTTGTTACCAACAACTCTGCCAACGGGCAAGGATGGAGGAATGAATAACCGGATAAAAGTTGGAAAAAGGAATACCTTTACGGGAAACAGGACAAGAGCAGATAGCCTCTCTAGCAGCAGCATCCGCACGCTCATTTAAAGAAACACCAACATGGCTGGAAACCCAGCAAAACTCCACGGATATAAATTTACTAGAGATAAGAAACAGCCAATGCTGAATCTCGACGACCACCGGATGGACAGGATTAAAGGACCTGAGAGCGATGAGAGCACTACGAGAGTCAACTACAATCACAAAGGAGGATTGACAATGAGAAAGCAGGAGATGGAGAGCATGGAGAATAGCATAAAGCTCCGCTGTGAAGATGCTAGTCTCCGAAGGGAGGCGACACATATAAGTGCGGTCAGGAAAAATAACAGAGTAGCCCACACCGTCCGCAGACTTAGACCCATCGGTAAAGACGGAAACGGAGTGGGAGTGTGAAGAAAAGTGCTCAAGAAAAAGGCGTTTTAGAACCGTAGGAGCGGTAAAAGCTTTAGTGATACGGGTCAAGGAAGTACAAAACCGCGGAAGAGGGACTCTCCACGGGGGCAAAGAAGGAACAACACGAGGAGAAACATTAGAAATACGAACGGAAAGAGAATCCTGGAGGCGAGATAACCGGACAGAAAGAGGGAGGTGGTGAAGAGGAACAGGAACCGCAGGAGGGGTAAAAGTTAAAGCACGACAGAGGCGAGAGGAAGGATGTTGTAAGGACCGCGCAAGATAGCGAAGACAGTAGCGATCACGGCGGTCCTGGAGAGACAGGAAGCCAGTGTCAACATACAAGCTAAGGACGGGAGTCGAACGAAAGGCACCAGAACTGAGGCGCAACCCAGTATGGTGCAAAGCATCAAGACGGCGAAGAGTAGAAGGAGAAGCAGACGAGTAAGCAGGGCAACCATAATCGAGCTTAGACAGGACAAGAGAGGAATGTAAAGCAAGGAGAGTGCGCCTATCTGCTCCCCAAGAAGTATGGGACAAGACCCGAAGGAGGGTAAGGGCCTTAGAGCACTCAACACGGAGGTAAGAGATATGGGGAGACCAAGACAAACGAGTGTCAAGGAATAACCCCAAAAGCTTCGCGGAATCTTTGTATTCAAGCCCGGCGATGTAAACGAACGATCATTTTCCCCAGTGTAAACGAACAATGGTTTCCCCTGATGTAAACAATCAATGGTCCCCCCCCCCCCCCATCTCCGAAGTAAACGAACAATGGTTACTCCCCCTGTGTAAACAAACGATCGTTTCCCTTAGTGTAAACGTCCGATGGTTTCCCCACAGTGTAAACAAACAATGATTTACTCAGTGTAAACAAACGATGGCGTTCCCCGGCATAAGCGAATGATGGTTTTCCCCAGTGTATATGAACGATGGGTTTCCTCCGGTGTAAGTGAACCTTAGTGTTCCCCGGTGTAAACGAATGGCTTCCCCAGTGTAAGCATTCGGTTTCCTCAGTGTAAACTTAGGGTTTTCCATTACACAAAAGTACAGAATCTGTGTGTCACGCTTTAGGTATGTCCATATTGCTGCACGGGATTAGTGGCTTTATCTATAAGAGAATGTATGTCCAAAATTAGATGGTCAGATGCTTGGGGCTGGACTTACTCAAATTTGTAAGGAAAATGATCTAAGGTACAGAATGGACATAGGCCTACCCTGACCAGCCTAAGTTAAATAATTTAAGAATTATTCACTCCCCGCCCCCCCCCCCCACCCCATCCTATGCTCTGGTATTCAATTCTGAAGTGTGAAGTATTGGTTTACATGACCGAAGACTTCATCAGAAAAAATTATTTTCCTAAACACGTAATAGTTTCAATACTCCTTAATTATTTTATGAAAGGGAAGAGGAGCCAAGCCAGTGGAGAGGGGCGGGAGGGGCGGGGGGAGGAGAGAGAACATAGGGAAGGGCTGGGGGGGGGGACGAGGTGAGATGCGGGAGGGTGGAGGATGAGGAGAGGGGGAGTGAGGAGGAAGTAGATGGATGGATAAATGGTTGGATAGATAGATTGACAACGGATGGATAGGTAGGTGGATAGATGGATGCACAAATGTATAAACAGAAAGATGGATGGATAGACATTCATACGGATAGATGGATGAATATAGATTAATGGATAGGTAGATGGATAGATAGATGAATAGATGGATGGACATGGATGGATGGATGGATAGATGTGTGTACAAAAATGTTGTATGATGTACATAAAGATAGATGTAGTTTGAAAAAATCATCAGAAGAAATGTGCGGGGGAGGGGAGGCCTGTGACAAGCTGCAGGCTCCCTGTCCTCATCTAGGCCACTAGCGTATTAGTGACTCTCGGGTAAATTCAGGTATAGACAACTAAATAAATGGATAAATGAGTAGACGATAAATAGATGGATATCTGGATGTAAAGAAAGATGGATGGAGGGAGAGATAGGACACACACATCTGCAACACTGGGTAGCCTATCCTAGTAAAACAAAACAAAATTACTATGATATCACTTGTAATCATATCTTCTATAACTTTGTTAAATAAAATATAATAATACTTGCAAGATACAGCATTCTGATAACATTTCACTTGCAGAATGAAGTAAATGGTGTAGGACTAAAGGCATCCTTCAATGGATCAGTTGAACCTTCTCGCCATAAACCCCAGATCAACAATGGCGTACCGAGCGAGGTTCAAGTCAAAGGTAAAACATCGTATTTAGTCACATATCTAAAACCTATTTTTACCAAGTGGTATCACATCTCTGTGTGAGTTAGTGATAGGCTTTCAACTATCAAATCTAACAAGTTAAATATTAATTATTTTAGAGCACAAATAATTGACTGATTTTTAGAATAGAAACAAAAGAATCAAGTTTATGGCATTTTGAAACTTAGAACAATAGCCAAGCAAATTTGTACAAGGCAAAAATGTCTTCACTACTTTAGTTAGTTTTATTTTATACATTGGGGTAAGATTTTACATTTGTAAATTTAGGCAAGTAAACCAATGATTTACTTCCCTAAAATCCGATCTTGTCCAGGCAGCAGTATCCTCTAACAAGGGGGTTTACATCAACGAGTCCCTGACCAGGAAAAGGCAGGAATTCCTCTACTGTCGACAGCAAATCTAACAAAACCAAGAAGTGATCCATGAGTGCTATGTTAAAGATGGCATAATGTGAGGAAAACTCGTACAGGAAAAAGTTTTGTGATACCAAATGAGGATAACCTCAATAAATTCCTCTCCCAATGTGGCTTATCTGACCAGACTAACCCTCTCAGTGCTTCATCTTAATTAACCCCCTTGTCACCTAGTGCAGGTTAGGTAACCTAGGTTTCATTGTTACCTAGGATTCCTAGCCTCCCCATACTCCCTTGCTGGGTGTACCTGGGTGTACCTCAAAGTAATCTACCTCATTTATTCTAGTGTAATTTTAGAAATTTTACTAAGTTTACTAAGTTTATCATTTTCTAAACATAGTCAATCTTTATTGAACCCTTCTTTCTGAGGGGAGTCTTGTCGGCTCCCTGAAGCTATCAAACTGGCATGTGCCATATTAGTTTGGTGCCATCAGTCCTTGGAGTCCAAGTGCCTACCGGGGGGCCACGAGCCAGAACCTGGCTCCTTCAGAAAGGCGCAGGGAGCAATGGCCATATGAGCTCTCTATATGTAGAGTTCATCATATCTGCCATCGACTGGAGAAGGCACCCAGAAAGGTAGTTGAACCATTACAAACCTCTAACTGGTTAAAATGGCAGCCTACAACTGAACACAGGCCCAGAAATTTCCCCAATAGAAAAAGAGTGAAACAAGCAACACGTCATCCAACCAGCACGCCTACTCGTTAGCACCTCATCTTCCCTGACTTGCTTCCCTGCTCAGGCGAGCAGGCCGCACGACCTCATTTCGTTGACTGATGTACCAGGTGTCAGAATTCCTCTCTGGCCTCAAGTTTTTGTCTGGCTTGCGTTTGTGGCTTTGCCGGGTGTGTTGTGTGGTGGCCAGGTGTTCCTACAAGTCTACTGGGCTGCATGCACCTAGGGTTCTCTTCCCTAGGTGCCCGGTAAGTAGTTCCCTTAGGATTCAGAGTTACCTTCCCTGAGTCGTTTGGTTTTCACTCCCGTTTGAGGCCTTCATTGCTTGATGATGTTCTCGCCCTTGGGATTCGACGGAGATCTTGGGTTTCTTGTCTTGCCCTGGGTAGGGAGTGTGTTTGTGCTGGGTGGAGTGCACTGCAGCCGGCACAGCTTGCATTCAGCGGCAGCCAAGGTTTTTCTCTGGGAACCAGTTAGTCTGTGTGTGCTGCTTCAGGGTTCTTTTTGTTTATTTGTTTTTAGCGTATTTTCGCTTCCTTGGCAGAGGAGGTCTTCCCATTAGGTTAGCCTAGGTTGTGTTTGGTAGTCCTTCACTGATGCCCCGAGGTTTCCCTGCAACTCCGGTTTCCAGTTTATCTGCAGCAGACAGGGCTTACCGGCTTAGCTGTCCCCAGTGCCTGGGCTTCCTGTAGGGCTTATGTACCCTATGGGCCCCTGGAAATCCCTCTAGGGCTCGGAGGTACTGTGGACGTGTCTTCTGAGCCCTGTCTCGCCTTGTGCAATGCCGAGGGGTGTTCGTTGCCTTTGCCTTGTGGTGACGATCATCTATCCTGCCTCCGTCATGCTGCCTGATGTGTTGGTGACACATACGTTCACGAGTCTTTCTGGACGTGTTGCCCACTTGTTATTCAATTTACCCATTCCTCATCTGAGAATGTTAGGAGCCAGGCGGCGAAGTATTCAGCATAAGACTCCGGTCCTGAAAGAGCCAAGAAAGGACCAGAACAGAAACTGACAAAATCCTATGAAAGGAAAGGAAATGGCTGAAAGACCAACAGGAGACTTCATACTGACGCTGAGAGAAAGACCGCAAGTGGGATACCATCAACGAAGCCACCTGATCACCATACAAACGGTGATACACCCATGTAATAAAAACCAATGTGAAGGTGGAAGAGTAAGTCAAACCAGTGAGGTACCTTACTGACCCGACCTGCTGAAAGAGGCAAAGCCGTGGAAAAACACCTGGGTTCTGACACCGTACAAGCAGCGTCCGAAACCAAGGTTGGGCTGACCACCATGGGGCCAGTAGATCTACTCTCCTTCGATAGGGTTCGAGCCATGCCATGCCCACCTAAAACAACAGCTGGACCAGGGGATAAAGGTACCGGAACCCCCCACTTCGACCAGTCCTGCCAGAAAGCGTCCACAGCAAACAACTTGCAGTTGGGAAATGGTGCCACATATATAGGAAGGCACCTGGACCAAGCCGACATGAAGAGGTCCACCTCCAGGCGCCTGAACGTCTGACAAAGCCAGTCGGCATTGACTATCTACTCCGTGGAAAGAGGAATGAAGTGAGACAGGCCGTCCCCCAGGACGTTGGACACCCCCTGAATGTGAACGGCATGGAGAGCTAAACCCCAAGAACTCGGTCGAAGAGTTACCAGAAGCGACCAGCTCCAAAGAGCCACAGACCACAGAGACCCTTCCCTGGTTGAGACAATGAACCACAGGAGAGCAGTCCGAATGGAGCCGAGTCACTGAGCCCCAAGGGAACCCAATCCACCACAGTGCCTGACTCGAAAAACCCGAAGAGGAAGCTGGAGATGTAGCAACTGACACAAGGACCCCAGAGGTCGAACCCAGCAATCGTGAGAGCGGTGAAAGGGGCTGCCCCGAAGACACCAGAACAGCCTCCGATACCAGACCCTGCCCAGCGGGAAAACCAGCAAGGCAAAGTTGAAAGTTTTTCACAACACACGCACTCCCTCACCCACAACACGCACTCCCTCACCCACAACACTCACCCCCCCTCACCGACAACGTTTGCTCATTGACAACATTCCCCTCTGCTGATATTTATCAAGATAAATACCAAAAGAAGGGAATTTTTTATTTGTTCTTTTCAGGCAAATAAAAAGTGCTTTTTGATTTCAGTGTGATGTCGGCGCCATTACCCGGAGGCTGTACAAGGGTGTACGTGGCGAGTACTACACAGCAGGATGTACACTCTTGTATCTTACCTGAACCATTAATGCAGACAAGGGGAAAATATTAATGTTAGTGATCACCTAAGGCATATTGTACACAAGAGTATACCTAAAATTATTGGATTTATTGTCATTTATGCTGATAGGTTGTGCCTAGTGTGGGTGCTGGTGGACACCCAGAACTCTGATAACACATTAATTACAAATTACACATGAACATGTTTATCGAGTATACATATGAATGTTTATAGAATAAACAGCTCATCCTCTTGTTCAGATAGAATTTATAGTGACGATGTGAACCATAGGACATGTAATGAAGAAATGGACAACTAGAAAGTAGAATTTAGTACTATTGAATTTGGACACCGGAAAAGGTTTTTATTAATGTTTCCTAATAAAACTTAACCATCCTAGTCCTAATACATGCTATCTGAGGTCTAATAATATGTATACTGTGTATATATATTATATATATATTATATACACACACACTAGGCCTAAGAACATTTAAGCTTGGTTTTTAACTTTTTTTCTGAACTCTATATTATTAATAGTCTATAACTCTATAATACTCTATAATAATTAATATAAGTATAATAATTAATAGTACCAAATTCTATTTAACTGTCCATCAAGCCAATGTATGTATGATGGTTGACAGTTAAAAAAAATAAAGTACTTTTAGAACAGGAGGATGAGGTGAAAGATACATATGAATACTTTATAAAGTAAAATGGCGACTGAAGTACGAAAATTGTGATCAATCAAACGTTTCCCTCCTAGTTATGTTGTGATATATATATATATATATATATATATATATATATATATATATATATATATATATATTATTTATCATTTGTAATGACGTGTTGGAGGTTGGCGGCAACTCTACTTTATTGCACATCAGTCATTTTTTTTGTTTTTTTTCTCTTGCATTCAGTTATAAATCATACTTTTTTATAATAATTATTGTGCAAATTTTATCTGTTTAAAATAGTTGGAATTATTTTTTGTATGGCTTTCGAAAATTAATTAAATTTTGTAAGATTTTAATTAATAGAAAGCACTGTATTTTTATTTATATTTATGTAAATAAAAGTTTAATCTTGTAGTTTTTAATTTATAGACCAAAATTATTGAACCAATCATAAAATGTCGGAATGAAGTATGCAAGAAATGGTTGGAATGGCACAGTGGTGGGAGGCATGCTTGGCCACCATCCCGAGCCCAGAATGTTAGCCAAGTTCACGCCCTGTACAGGTAGAGACAATTGGATGAATATTCTTAACTATTTGCTGCTGTTCACCCACAAGTAATTCGTGACCTGTTAGTAAACTGACAGGCTGGTCATGGTCCAGGGAAAAACTAGTAGTGAAGAGCTATGAAAAGGGAAGGTTCCTGTGGCTGTACAAACCGGTATAAACAAATTCTTGGTAAGCCCTTTTTATGTTGATGTACATGTAAGAATATAATACAAGACCTTGTATACAAGATTATACATGATAACTGTTAGATCTTGCATGTAGGGCATGACAATCCACGTCACAACTACCGAATTAACAGTATTACCTTGCAGCAGATTGAAAAAGAAAAGGACCTTGGAGTCAGAATCCAAGATTCACTGTAAGTTGCACAAGAGCGATAGTGTAAAAAAAAAAAAAGCTTACCAAATCCTAGGAATAATGAAGTGTACTTTTGACTTTAACCTCTGTGCTGCTCGCCCTCCAAATACTGCACCCTCTTCCCCCTCCATGTGCAGGAAATAACATCTCTGGAAATTGTTTTGTAATGTGTTCAAACCTTTCCCTGATTACAGAAATGTAAAAATAAACTCAAAATTGTACTTACTTTGGCCGCCATGGGGTCTGTCCCGGGGCAGTCGCGCCAGGTTCAAGATGCACGAGTTGCCACAAATTATTGTTTTATTTTTTGTGCACAATTTCAAATACATTTGTTTTGTTTTTTCTTACCAATCCAATGTATAAAGAACACGTACACTATATTATGGCAGTAGAACATCCATACTGTCTAAAGACACTGTTACGTGCATCACAAATGTGTTCACATATCTTGCACATATTTCCAATGTATCATGCTCATTTATGTATATTTACAAAATATTTACACACTGTATAGTATCACACACTGTATAGTATCACACACTGCATAGTATCACACACTGCATAGTATCACACACTGCATAGTATCACACACTGTATAGTATCACACACTATATACAGCATTAACACACTCAGACCTCCGCGAGTGTGTGATGTGCTGCGAAACAGCCAACGTGGCCATAGTGCAACTTTGCACTCAACACACCAGGTGTTGATGCATCTTCGCTTTTGTTCTCTAGGAGTAGTGTTCTTGCATACAATAGAGGCACGTTTACTCTTTTCCCCGTGATGCTGTGCCACGTATATACTCGAGCACGTGGACACCAAACATCTCGTTACAACTCTGTCTGTCTGAAACTGCATGTGGCATTGTGGTGGCACCCCGCGCGGTGCAACAGAGCCCCTCTTGCTATACTTTACGAGCAGTTGTGACACTGTAGCAACACTGAATGTCTGTATTGGCGGTCTCCTGCCTGACTTTACTAGATACGTATTGAAACAGTTGAGCACTGCAACATCAATGAAGTGGAAAAAGAACTTTTTCGTCCACTTCCCAGACTTGCGGAAGCACTTGTCACATTTATCTACTAGGCGCATGTTTACGTTATAGTCTATGACACAATCGGGTTTATGTATGGGTTAGCGCATTTGAAAGTGGACTTTGCCACTGTCCAAGATGGCACCGGTGTGAATAGTTGTCAGCATATTCACCTCGCGTCTGTCCCTCTACCGCACTGACAGCATATTGTCACACGGTCAGCAACGGTTCCATGAGGGTTTTGACGACACTGCCAGAGAACCCGTGTTCATCTTGCGCTGGTATGTCGACGTCCGTACCCGAGTACAGTATCATGTCTATGATGATACCAGTTTCACAGTCGCACAGCACGAAAAACTTTAGCCCAAATCGGCGGTGCTTTGATGGGATGTACTGCTTGAACGCCAGTCGCCCCTTGAACAGTAATAGCGATTCGTCAATCACCACATTCAGTCCTGGTATAAAATAGTCACGGAACTTACCTCTCATGTCACTGAAAACTTTCCGTACCTTCTAAAGTTTGTCGTGTCTGTCCTCATTTGCATTATTTTCAAAGTGCAGGCACCTGAGAAGCAACAGGAACCTATCACGTGACATGTACCTGTTGAAAACGGGAGATGGAACAAGGCTGTCTTTGCTCCAATAATCCTGGATGACGTGTTTCTCGGGAAGTTTCATCATCATGCTCAATGCGAGAAACAAAAACATTTCGTCAATTGTGGCGTCCTTCCATCGTGCCAGGCGAGAGGCAGGTAAAATGCCGGCATCTATGCGCTTGTGAGCGTATCTATTCGTCTCAGTCACAAGATGGGTCATGAATTCATTATTAAAATACGCCAGGAAATAGTCTATTTCAGCCATATCCTCACCTGTATACGGGAATAATGGTGTCACACCAACATCGGTACCATCAAAAGTTGGTATTTGTGGAATAAATGAAGCACAAGCCGCCAACACAAGTATACCCGGGGGTTGGTTTTGGCGCCAACACCACCACGAGCACAACTCGGTCGTCTGGTCCTGGAGCTGCGTGTGGTTATGGTAGGAGATGAGGCTGATCTGCGTATCTTAGGCCAACCATGAACACCTGATGTAGAGGGACCACTGTCGTCATTGTCCCCTTAGCTGCGTGACACGCTGCCGCCTGCCACAACGTGTTGCTGGGGCAGCAAAACCACGCCTAGTAACACCCTCGCTGCTCGTACTCGGCTCGTAAACACTACTTGTGTCGGAGCCTACGTCACTGAAGCCCGAGAATGATTCATCGCAAGTACTATCACTGAATAAACTTTTAGGGTACACACATGGTAGTGGTAACTAACGGTGTTGACCCAGGGCGGCGAGGCAGGCTGGGCGAGGTGCGTGTACTGTACACACTCGCGACATCATCCTCCTGTCTCTCCCTCACTCGTATCAAACCTCTGTGTAAGGTTTTTCTCTGGATCATAGTTTAAGTCATCATCCATAGCACCATCATACAAAATGTCACATATTTCCTCCTCAGAGAGTCGTTTTCCATGACCGCGGCTGACCGTGGAGTGGGAGCTCGTAGACGATGCATCAGACATGGCTGCTGCTTTGAAACTGAGGCTCCCCACGGCCGTGGGGCATGCTGGGATTTTTTCAAGATGGCGGACGATCACTGAAGCCCCCAGGCATCCATTTTGTACCCGCATCACCACGCGCCAGTTTTGAATGATATGCTAAAACTACAAGATCCCGGAGGCACGTTGTGCACCCCCCCCCCCCCCCCACAATCGAGTGCCTGCAGGCGTGCGTTGAGCAGTTCAGTGGTTAAGGAAAAGAAGTTAGTTATTCAGTTGTACAAGTCTCTGAAGCTTCCCTACCTGGATGATTGCATCCAAGCATGGAGGCTTTATCTTCAGAAAGGCACAGCTGCTCTGGAGAAAGTTCAACACTAAACAACAAAAATAATAACTCGGTCAACTTTCAAATCAGAAAAGGTTAGCATAGACTAACTCGTCTGTTCTGTGTAGAGGGTGTGCTACTGGCCGAGCTTAATATCCTTCCATGCCTGACTGAGGGGGGAGGGGGGGGGGGGTGTGAGAGTTGAGACTGTTAACAAAAGTTTCCCAGTTATCTTGTCTGAGCTCTATCATGCACTCCCTCGCCTTGGCTAGGGCTTTCTGAAAGAGCTTTAGCATTGCTGGCGTACGTGTTTCCATATATGCAAGTCCAACTTTTCTGGCAGTGCGTTTCAAAGTACGCACTGTACTTAATCAACTAGAAATGCTCTTCAAATCAAGGGACCCAGAATGTGGAATGACCTTCCCAGTCATGTCAAAGGCTGTAACTCTCTCAACCAGTTCAAGATAAAAATTAAGCACTACCTAATTAACTCCCTGAAACCTACCTTACCCCTATAATGTCAACCCATGTCTGTTATTTTTAAACAATGCTGTTTGTTGACCAAATTGTATTTTTGCTGTTTTACTGCCATGTTCCCCCTTTTTTATTTTGAATATTTCTCTCAACACATTTTATACTTTAATCTCACTTAGTATTAAGTTTTAGTCTTAGTGTTTTTCCTGCCTGAAACGCTTTGCGTCATAGTGGCTTTAGACATTGTATGTACTAGCTCTATCTATAAATCCATCAACTTTTGTATCACACCTTGTATGTATGTACATTACCTTAATAAATATATGTATTTGTATCTGTGGGCGGTAATAGATCCCATACCCATCCTGTGGGCGGTATTGTGGGTATATTGCCCGAAACGCATTGCGTAATAGTGGCTTTAGGCATTGTATGTACTAGCTCTATCTATATATCAATCCATTAATGTAACATCACTTGTATGTATATACCTTACCTGAATAAACATCTGAATCTGAATCTGACATCTATTGGACCCAAAACGCATCCAGTGGGCGGTATTGGATCCATTACCCACCCTGTGGGCGGTATTGGACCCCATACCCATCCTGTGGGTGGTAGTGAACCCTATACCCATCCTGCGGGCGGAAGTGGACTTCATACCCATCCTATGGGCGGTAGTGCACCCCGGACCAATCCTGTGAGCAGTAGTGGACCCCATGCCCATCTTGTGGGTGGTATATAGTGGCCCCCCATACCCATCCTGTGAGTGGTTGTCAACCCAATACCCATCATGTGGGCGGTAATGGACCTCATACCCATCCTGTGGGCGGTAGTGAACCCCATACTCATTTTGTGGGCGGTATTGGACCCCATACCCATCCTGTGGGTGGTTGTGGACCCCATACCCACCGTGTGAGTGGTATTGCACCACATCCATTCCTGTGGGCGGTATTAGACCCCATACCCATCCTGTGGGTGGTAGTGACAACATACCAATCCTGTGGGAGGTAGTGACCCCATACCCATCCTTTGGGTAGTAGTGGTCCCCATATACCCATTCTGTGAGTGGTTGTCGACCCAATACCCATCATGTGGGCGGTAGTGGACCTC